GTTGGGGAATCCCCTAAGAAATCCCATCTGGGAAGTCATCATGTGTACAGCTGGTGCAAGACCAAGCCCAACCTGCCCCCTACACCAGCCCACATATGTACCAAGGAATACATTTGCCTGGCCAGTCCCACCCCCTAGCCCTGAGTTTCACACAAGCCAGCAGATGCTATGGCCTAATGTGACCAGATCTGGCCCACCTCCAACCTCAGCTCTTAAGTGCACTAGCAGTTGCTACAGCCTAGTTGGAGTAACCCCAAAGCACCCCTACAGGCTTGCCCTCCGCCACAGCTCTTGCATGGCAGGTGCTGTGACCCAGCTAGTGTGGCCTGGCCTAGTCTGGCCTGGCCTGGCCTAGTCCTAGCTCTCAACAGTGGATGCTGCAGCCTAGCCCAGCCTGGCCCACCCCAGTCCCACTCTCAGGATTACTGGTGTATGCTGTGACCTAGCTTGGCTCTGCCTGCCCCCAGCTACAGTTCTTGTGTGTGCCAGCAGGTGCTGCTGTATAGCCTGGCCTGGCATGCCCCCAACCCTGGCTTTCATGTGTACCAGAGAGTGCTGTGGCCTAGTTTGAGGGTGACCTCAAAGAATCCCTACTAGGCCCACCACCAAATAGAGCTCTCATAAGTACCAGGGGGTGCTGCAGCCAAGCCCAGCCTGGTCTACCTCCAGCCCCAGCTCTCGTGTGTCACAGCTGGTGAGTTGGTCTGGTTTGGGAAGGCCCTGTGGAGTTCCCCCACCCAATCCATCCCCTATCCCAGCTTCCCTGATTACTTGTAGATACAGTGACCTGGTCCACAAAAGCACTTAGAGATCATTTTACACGTGTCACCAAGCCCTCAGTGGCCCCCATTCCAACTACTTCCTGGCCCTCGGCAGTGTGTATACAACAATGGTGATAGCATTGGGGTAGCCCTGGCTGACACATGCCCACATTGGCACAGTGGGCACTCTGCCCCCTCCCTCCCTAAATACATTTCTATTTTTATGAATAGATAACTCTGCTGGCACAGTGGTATAGTTAACACAGAGTTGGCACTAACTAGGCCTAGAGTGCCTGCCAACTATTGGCTGTTTTTCTCCCGGGAGTGTAACACTTGCCTAGGTACAAGGCAACCTGGGCTCTTGCCTACAGCTGGGGTGTGATGTGTTTCTAATTATGAAATTAATATTGATTATGGAAGTTTGGAATTATACAGTGAAGTACCAAAAAAAAAAAGTAAAAAACAGAAGCCATCCTAGATGTTCTACATTTTCAAGTTAAACTGAAATTGCTGTTTTGGGTTAAAACCATCCAATACCGGTAATTCTGTATGACTCAACTCAAGATGAAGATCTCGCTGTATTTCCTTCATCATTCAGACTTTGCAGAAATGTGAGGTTCTCAGCTGTGGCTGTTTTTTTACTTATTTTTAAATTTTTTAAATTTCATTTTATTTTGTGTTATTTGAATGTTCATTTCTCTCCCCAGCTACCACGCAGAGTCCGATGATTCAGTTGAATGAATACAAGTGCTGAAATGAGGTGGCTCATTAAAAATAAAGTTTCTTTTTGGACTTTAATTCCATATAATGAGAATCATGACTGTGAATCTCAAGTTGAGATGCTCAGACGGTTTTTCAGTTAGTGGTGATTTCTGAGGTGTAACACAAAAATCGCTCTTACTAAAACCCCAAATATCTTTTTGTCTGGCCTACATCCTTCTCCTTCCCCTGGTGCTGCTGCAGAGTGGGAGTAGAGGAGTCTAAGAGGCCAGGCTCAGCCCCTGGGGGCACGATCAACCACAAGGCCAGGATGGAGGATGGCATTTGAAGTCACAAGGGCCCATGGAGCAGATACAAGGCTGAGCCCTGGCGCCGTGCAGCACCAGAAGCCAGAGAGAAGGCCAGCACTGTCTAGGGGTCCCTGTCTGGCCCAGACAAGGGGGAGGGAGTGGCCCCTTAGGAAGGAACCCCTCATGTGGAGCCCCAGCTAGCCAAACCCAGAGTTGCACCAATGCCTAGAGTTCAGGAGCCCAGGGCTGCGCACCTACACCTACCTGGTGCCTGTCATTCAGGTGGCTGCCATCAGAGGGCGCCCACGTACAGTGATGATGCCCAGCAACAAAGAGCCTCAGAGACAGCGGCCTGTCTGGACCAGCACCAAGACCTTGCCCAGGGATTCAGCTCCTTTGATCCACTTGAGGGATGTTTCTGCCCTTGAGAGAAGCTGCCAACCTTTCTCTGTGAGGGCAGCACAACCCGTGACTGTTTACTGGTAAGGATTTCATCTGAGCCTGTGTAATCAGAGGTCAGGGCAGGATGGGACATTCAACCATGGCAGAAGGCATATGCCCAGGGCCTGTGCAGAGGGGCCTTGCCCACCCAGAGACTCTTGTCACTTTCTGCTTGTCGCCCTTGGTAGGTCTAGAGGCTTAGTATTGTGGTGCAGAGAGTTAAGGCCCCACCTGTAATCTCAATAGAACAGTAGAGACAGGATCACAGGATTCCTCCCACAAGCCCCCCAAAGGGGGACTCTTATCCAGGTGCCAGGGAGGGATGACGGGGGGGCTGTGTGAACCCACACTTCACTTTGCTTCTGTGTATACTCTGCCTCTAGTTTGCTCTTCCAGCAGCAGCTGTCTCAGGATGTGTTGTAGGATGGCAGAGTCTGGGTTCTTGTGTCTGACGCAGAAGGGAATTTAGGGATGAGCCACAGTCGGGTACAGTTGAGGAGGGGGCTTATTTGCACAGGGAGAGTCCTCACTTGTGCTTGAGTGAGGGCTGTGTCCAGCAGCGGGTGGGGTGTCACAGCAGGTGGGGCTTGAGTCCAACCCATTTTCCTGCTTTTTCTGGAAGGCTGGGAAGTGTCACGTTGTTGTCGGGTATCTGGTGGGAGGGGGAGCGTTGACCATGGTCACTTTATTAGAATCTCACTATGATGATTTATAGTGTTATAGATTGTGGCTGGCACGCCATCAGCAGCTGTGTTGGTTATTTGCAGCCTTGGCTAGTCCATGGCACAAAAGGCCGAGTGGGCAGGGTCGAGGGGAAGGGCCAGTGGCATCAGTACCTCCTCTTTGTCCTCACTGCCTGCTTGCCAGGACCAGTGTCCACCACAGCCAGTCTGTCCAGCTGGACCCTGTCCTCCCCAAAGTGGCTGTGGTCCCAGTGTTGTGCCCATGCCCTGTGGCCTCTAGGTTTGGGGCTGGAGTGTGTGGAAAGCCTGTTTGTCTCTGTGGGAGAATGCCAAGGTGGGGACAGATGCCTAGTTTTACTGTTTTGTCCCTGTTTGTTGACTTACTTTATCTGACTCCTCAGGCCACCTGAGGGTTTCCTGGAGCAGGCAGCCCCCCAGCAGGTGCAGAGACCCCAGGGACAGACCTCATAGTCCTGCTGGCTGCTACCCTGCTGTGGGACTTTGGAAATTGTCCTTGTATTCTATCCAGTTGTCTCCTAAAAAGATTCCAGGGGGATTTCTTTTTCATTTCTTTTTAAGATTTATTTATTGTTATTGGAAAGTCAAATTTACAGAGAGAAAGAGAGACAGAATATCTTCCATCTACTGGTTCACTCCCCAAGTGGCTGTGACTGCCGGAGCTGAGCCGATCCAAAGCCAAGAAGAGCCGGGAGCTTTTTCTTGGTCTCCCACATGGGTGCAGGGTCCCAGGGCCTCAAGCAGGGAGCTGAATGGGAAGTGGATCAGCCAGGATACGAACTGGCGTCCATATGGTATCCCCATACATACAAGGTGAGGACTTCAGCCAGTAGGGTACCGGGCTGGGTCCTCCCTGGGGATTTCTAATCAGGTCCAGCCATGGATCTGTCCAGCAAGGTGCTGAAATGGTTCTGACCACAGCCAGCAGAAGGACTTGCTCATACGTGTCCCAACAACTAGCAGTTGGGGGCTGTGCCATGATCAGTTTTTACCTGATGTGTGAGCCCTTACATTCTCTCTTTTCCCTTAGAGGTGCCTAGGAGTCCTAGGGGAGCCTATCCTAGAGCTGGGGGTGAGAGTCCTGTGACCTTCCAGACCAGGAAAGCAGTCTCTCCCACCAGGATTCAGATTGAGCTCTTTGGTTCTCAGAGTGGATTGTGAACGGGAAGTCCTATGGGAGAAGTGTCTTGTCTAGTTTCCCAGGGCTTCTCCGCTATGCCCCCCCACATCGGGGTGGCGGGACACCCAGCTCCATTCCCTCTGGCTGCCCCTCTTTTGTTGTTCCCTGGGGCTGGACCATGAGAGCAGAGGGACACCCCCAAATGGAGCTTGAGAAGCACCACCACCCACAAAGCGCCTGTGGAGGGTCCCACCACAGCCCTGCCTCCGCGTGCTCTCCCATGCCTGGTTGGTTAGTGGAGGGGTGGCCTCTCTAATTATAATTTCTGCCCGGCCTAATTACAGTGGGCTAATTTGGTAATGGCTTTGGGAACTGAGTGCCTCTACATGGGGGCAGCATTACAGCCACTGGGTCCCAGACAAGGGAGCTAGGCCAAATGGAGACCCATTGGAGCTGAGCATACCCCCAGGGTCCTGTGCTAGTGATCAGAGCAAGGCCCTGTGTGTCTACTCAGTGCTGCCTGGTCTGTGTGGGTCTCTTTCTTCTGTGGGAGCCCCGGGAGCCCTAGGAGACCATGCTGAATGGCATCAGCTGGGACCTTGCCAGTTTAAACCAGCTTCCTGCCTGTGGCCTGGGAAAGCAGTAGAAGACGGCCCAAAGCCTTGGAACCTGTACCCATGTCAGAGACCCGGAAAAGGCTCTGGGCTTCTGGCTTCGGATTGGCGCAGCACTGGCCATTGTGGCTGCTGGAGGAGTGAATCAACAACAGAAGATCTTCCTCTGTCTTTCCTCTTCTCTGTGTGTCTAACTTTGCAATAAAAAAACGAACACGCACACACACGCACACACACACCCAGGACTCCACTCCAGTAACTCATGACCTTCCGTCCATTAACATGTGGCGGAGGCCAGTTCACCCCTGATACCTGTCTATGCTTTCCTCTGACCAAATGTGTTGTCCCCACAGGCAAGTCCCACCTGGCCATCGTGCAGAAGGTCAACAACGAGGGTGAGGGAGACCCCTTCTACGAGGTCCTGGGCCTGGTCACCCTGGAGGACGTCATTGAGGAGATCATCAAGTCTGAGATCCTGGACGAGTCGGACATGTACAGTGAGTTTCAACCCCATCCCGTGGGCCCGCAGTCACCTGCCCTGCCGGGCCCAGAAGTCCGGGGTCCCTGGGTCTGAAGGCCATGGCATAGGGTGAGGAGGAGGGCCAGGGGGCAGGTGCTATGTGCTGACCAGTTGCTGAGAGCAGTGAAGGGAGGCAACCTTATTTGCTCCTGGCTGCTTACAGGCATGTGGGGGGTGGGTACTGTTCTCATTAGTTCTGAGTCCTTGGGGTCATTATCTCAGTTCCAGATTCTTTGTCTTGCAGCCGACAACCGGAGCCGGAAACGAGTGTCTGAGAAGAACAAGCGTGACTTCTCAGCCTTCAAGGATGCTGACAATGAACTCAAAGTGAAAATCTCACCCCAGCTCCTCCTGGCTGCTCATCGCTTCCTAGCCACAGGTAGGAGCTCAGGGGGACCGCTGGAGTGTGGAGGGAGATGCAGGCACAGGGAAGAAATCCTGGGCCTCTGGCTACTGTCTTCCCTGCTGGGGACAGCAGGTCCCTGGGCTGGACACTGCATACCTGAGTAGGTGGGTGGAGCCATGCACTTGCGCCATCTTGTGCTGTCTTGCTAGGCATAGTGACAAAGCAGGAAGCTGGCTCAGAAACAGAGCAGCTAGGACTCAAGCCTGTGCTCCAATGTGGGGTGTCAGTGTTGCAAGCAATGGCTTACCCCGCTATACCACAGGACCAGGCCCCGATGGTAATGATTTGAGCAGCATTTGTGAAGCACTTTGCCCAAGCCAGGAGTGTGTCTTACGTGCTTTACTTGTGTTATCTCGTTTGACCTTGCAACCACCCTCTGAAGCTTTATCCCCATCTTATGTCTGTGCAAACTGAGGCGCGGGTTAAGTGATTTGCCCAGAGTCCTGTGTGGTTAGGAATGGCACCACCCTCCAGGCCCATGCAGGCAGATGTAAGACTTGGGCTGAAGCAGCCCAAAACCAGAGGGGAATGGGAGGGAGGGCATGCCCAAGCTGGCTGGGTGGGAGGGCTTCTCAGCAGTGATCCGGCGAGCACCCTAGGTCACCTGGCCTGGGCCCCTCTGTGTGATGCTGCTCTCTCTCCCTATTCCCACAGAGGTCCCCCAGTTCAGCCCCTCACTGATATCAGAGAAGATCCTGCTGCGGCTGCTCAAGTACCCAGACGTCATTCAGGAGCTCAAGTTTGATGAGCACAATAAGTACTACGTCCGCCACTACCTGTATACCCGGAATAAGCCTGCCGACTACTTCATCCTCATCCTGCAGGTGAGTGCCCCTCCTCTTGACAGCCCCCCACCTTCAGCCCAGGCTGGTCCTACGTCATCCGTCCTCTCCTTTGGGGTCACTTGTGCCACCGTGGTCAGCACCCTGTGCTTTTCAGGGCTCCGGTTGCGCTGGCTGCCCCACTCACTCCTCACCACGCTCCTCTTTGTCTTTCTTCTCGGTAACCTTGGCCTTGTGTTCTCGCAGGGGAAGGTGGAGGTGGAGGCAGGAAAAGAGAACATGAAGTTCGAGACGGGTGCCTTCTCCTACTATGGGACCATGGCTCTGGCCTCCGTCCCCTCTGGTGAGTGCACAGGGCTGTGGGAGTGAGGGTGGGGAGCAGGTGTGTCGGCAAGGGCCTAGTGGAGGTGGCCTGGAGGAACAGACTTGCCCTCTTGGAGGCAGGGAGGAGGACTCTGGGGAGGGAAGGTCAGGGAACCTTAGAAGGTCACAGGTGTTTAAATGGCCGTGGCCTGGAGTTGGAAGCAATTTCCTGGTCCACTGTGATGAAGTGTAATGAGACCTAAAAGGAGTGGCAGAGCCAGCCAGCCAGGGCCCTCACAGACTAACAGCAGGTGGCAGGAGGAGGTGAGGGATGGGAACTCTGGGGAATCCAAAGTGCCCAAGTTTAGGAGCCAGGCCAGTGCCCTGGTGGGTAGCAGACGGTTCCGCCTTTTCCAGGGCTGAGCCACTGCCTTTGGTTAAGGGTTGATTCTAGTGGAATGAAGGGACCTCAGGGACAGGCAAAGGGAACAGGCTTCCCCACTCTCCAAGAGTAGGTGTGGGGGGTCCAGGGAAGGGTAGTCTGACTGCTGCAGTGCCCACTGCTTCTCTAGTCCTGGGTGGTTTGATCTTTTCCTGCCAGAGTGGCTGTGTGATGGCAGTGGGAGCCCTGCAGGGGGCACCCGTGTCTCACCCCCTCCAGTCATCACTCCATACGCACCCTCTGACCTGGGGAACCTGCTGCAGGAAGGAAAGGTGACAGTCCACTTTGATGCTAAGTACTAAGCCATGCTGGTGGATGGGCGACTGTGGCTCCCGGGAAACCTGGGCTAGGGTTGTCACTGACCTTTAAGAAGAAGGGACACTTGCAAGGGGCCCAGGGATACCTGCTCATCCCATGCACCAGGACAAGCCTGGGTGGCACAGGCTGCTGGGCAGCTGGGGTGGTCAAAGAGCCACGCTGGGGCAGGTAGACCCTGCCTGGACACCTCAGTTGTCATCCACCTTGGGGGAATCTGTTCTGGAGGAGAGTGAGCTTGTGTGAGGGCCTCAGGCACCCTTTTCCTGTGGCATCACCTCAGATACCTGGTCATGGTTCTGGGCTCCGTCCCTCCACTCTAAGTCCCACTCCAGTGGCTGGGAAAAAGGGGGACCTCCCTGGGCTCAGGTGGCCAGCTCTGTCCTTCTCCACACGCCTGTCAGAGCTACAGTGCCTTCCCTGCTCTGTACCCTTCTGGTTCCTGTCTGCTCTGTCTCTGCTGTTTCCGTGGCCCTGGGTACTGCCTCCTGACCCCACCCTTGACACTGACCTCCTCCTCTTTTGCTCCAGTGCCTTCAGCCCAGGTCGGGTGTCCGCTTACCAAGCGGAATTCCTTGCTCTCCTGGCTTGCAGGTAAACATCGCATGGCTGGAGAGGTCCGCATTGCCACCTATCACCTGGCTGCACCACAGCTGCACTAACCCCTCCCCGGGGCACACCCAGGGGCGGCCAGCCTGCCTCATACTGGCGTGGCCTGGCTTCAGGCCTGATGGCAGGTGGCTTTGCTCTGGTGCTGAAAAAGCCTTTTAGTCTTTGAGAAGGTGCATGTGCAAACTCTACAGACAGACACACAGACAGACGCCCACGTGCAAGCCCTGCAGACACAAATACAGATGGTAGCCCATGTGCAAACCCACAGAGAAATACATACACGTGCAGTTGGTAGTCCTGTCAAAAGTGTCGCAGACACACACACTCACACAGACAATAGCGCATGTGCAGACTCCTGCACACAGACACACACAGAGACCCCAGGCTGGGAGGAGTGGTATGTCCTTGCTGGTCTGTGCCCGACACGGCATGCAGAAGACAGGGCAGCTGGTCTGCAACCCTTACGGCAGGCTGCCGCAGCTTTGGCCAGGGACTTCTCACTCATCAGCTGCCCTGCACACACGCTTGACTTTCCTCCTGCCTTGGCTTCCCCTTCCATCTCTGCATCTGTGTGCCTGGGAGAGGCAGCATGGGGCAGCGGGCAGTGCAGGCCCCATTCACACACCACCTCTGCAGTTACAGCTAAACGACGCCTTGTGTGGAAAAGGGGCCGATTCGTGTACCAGCTTCTGTAGAGCTGTCAGGGACAATAAGCAACAGAGTTGATAGAAAATATTTAATTGGAAAAAAGTATTTAGTTGGAGCACAATTACTAGGTTTTTTTTTAATCTGTTACAACTAAAATGTCCCATTCCAGCTGGAAAAGACTTAGGAAAAGGCCAGACCCAGTGCCCTTTTCTGAATGCCGTCACACTTTGTAAGATTTGCATATGTATGCATTTATTTATTTGAAAGAGAGAGAGACACATAAACACAGAGACTAGAGAGAGAGAGAACTTCACTTTTAGCACAAAGAACGGAACACTTCAGCCACACTTGGCTGAATGTTCTGATGGCTGTTGAGTCCCAGGGTTCATGTTCATGCTCTTTAGTAGTCATTTGTTAGTACAGCTAATGTAATAGTTACTGAATAGTTAGCTAAGCCAACGAGTTTGGTCCATGTTCTGTTTTGTGAAACGTCCACCTTCCTTCACAATGAATATTTTCATGTATCTCATTGTTTGCAGGCTGTTCCCTTTGTCTCTTTCTCTGGAATTTGTACTTATTTATGTGAGAGGCAGAGAGATGGAGACAGTTTTCCCATCTGCCAGGGAGCCAGGAGCTCAATCCGGTGCTCCCACACAACTGGGTGGCAGCGCCCTATTGCTTCAGCCCTTGCTGCTAAATGCCTCCCTGCCTTCACCTTTCTTGCCCGCAGAGTGAGCCCTGTGCTGCCTCTAGTGGCAGGAAGAGGCCATTACCACCTGTGCCCCAGGGGCCGCTGGCATGTGCCCAGCTCAGGGGGCCAGTGAGTGCCTATGAGAAGGACAGCTGGCTGCCCCTCTGCCAGGCCATCTGAGGTACAGACTTAGGAGGAATGACTTCTACATGTGCAGCACAGGCCTTTGGGATGTGAGCAGCTGTCCTAAGTGAGGGTTGCATGCCTGTAAAAGTAAACAGTTCATGTCACTTGCCCTAGTAAACTGGTATTGAAACAAAGGTAGCAACTTGTCTACCAGAGTAATCATGGTGTTGCTCTGGACTGATGAGTTGTTGGGGAGATGAGACATTTGGTTGCTGTAAACTGTGTTTTGGTTTCTGTTTTCTGGCTTGTTCATTTGATTCAGCAGACTTTTTTTTAATGATTTATTTATTTTTATTAGAAAGATTTACAGAGAGAAGGAAAGACAGAGAAAGATCTTCCATTCACTGGTTCACTCCTCAAATGGCTGCATTGGCCAGAGCTGAGCTGATCTGAAGTTGGGAGCCAGGGGCTTCTTTCGGGTCTCCACGCAGAGTCCCAAAGCTTTGGGCCATCCTCTGGTGCTTTCCCAGGCCCCTAACAGGGAGCTGGAAAGCTGGAAGGGAAGTGAAGCAGCCGGAACACAAACTGGTGCCCATAGGAGATGCTGGTGCTTGCAGGCAGAGGATTAGCTAAATGAGCTATCATACCTGCCGCAGCAGTAGACTTTTTTTGTTGTTGCACAGCACTTTTTTTTTAAAAAGATTTATTTATTTTTATTGGAAAATTAGATTTACAGAGAGAAAGAGAGACAAAGATCTTCCATCATTTAGAATGGTTCACTGTCAAAGTGGCCGCAATAGCTGGAGCTGAACTGATCCAAAGCCAGGAGCCAGGAGCTTTTTCTGGGTCTGCCACATGGATGCAGGGTCCCAAGGCTTCCTTGGGGTGTCCTCCGCTGCTTTCCTAGGCCATAAGCAGGGAGCTGAAAGGGAAGTGGAGCAGCTGGGACACGAACTGTTGCCCATATGGGATCCTGGCAGCTGCAAAGTGAGGACTTTAGTCACTAGGCTACTGCACTGGGCCATTCACAGCACTTCTAAAATGCACTAACTCTGGCTTTGACGAGGTCAGACCTTGGTGTGGTTCTGTGTGTTCCTAAGAATTTTCCTGTACATGGGCTTCCATTGCTGGGAGTGGGCTCTAGGGCTCCTGGCCTGATGGCTCTGCTCTCCCCACAGACCGGTCCCCGGCCCACCCCATGCCCCTTAGCCGCTCGGCCTCCCTCAGTTACCCGGACCGCCCAGATGCCACGACCACCACCACCACCACCACCACCACAACCCCAACCCCTTCTCCCTTGACGGGCAGCAGCAACCAGTTCGGCAGCTCTGTCCTGGGCCAGTATGTCTCCGACTTCAGCGTGCGGGCGCTGATGGACCTGCAGTACATTAAGGTGAGTGCCTCTTGGGCCCTCCGTGCAGTCACCTGTTTGCATCACTCTGCTCCAGAACCGGCTGCCTGCTGCCTTGGGAGCTCAGGCTTCTTGCCTCCCTCGAGCCTCGCTCTCAGCAAAGGGGTCCCCGGAGGTTTGGCTCTGCTCCTCCTGGTTGTGTCCTCTCATCCTGTCGGCCCAGTGCTGGTGTGGGGGTGTGCCTGCCAGCAGGAGTGCTGCAGGGCCTCACCCCCTCCTCCCGCAGATCACGCGGCAACAGTACCAGAATGGGCTGCTGGCCTCACGCATGGAGAACAGCCCACAGTCCCCCGTGGATGGGCACACCACCTGCATGGACAACTTTGCCGAGAAGTGCGAGCTGCCAGTGGTGGATGAGACTACGACACTTCTCAACGAACGCAACTTCTTGCTACACAGAGGCTCCCATGAGAGTGTCATCTGACAGGAGGGCCCGGGGTCCCCCGCCTGCCCTGCGGGGGCCTCCCCAGTGGGCCCGCATCAAGAGAGGGAGCCTGTGCAGCCGGAAGGGTAGACGGCCCAGCCAACTGGGCAGCCACTCAAGTGGGGCTCTCTGACCAGCTCAGAGGTGTCCACGGCTACCCTGGCCTGGACTGCTGGGACAATGGGCTGGCTACTATGAGCAAAGGCTTTTTTTTTTTTTTACTGGATTTCTAAGTGGGACTCATTGCTCCTCTTTTTAAGTATCATTTTGGGAAGGGTTGACAGGGTTAAGGAACTTTATTTAAAAAAAAAAAATTTTTTTTAAATATTTAGAAAGGGGGAGGGTTATCTCACCCCAGGAAGCAACAGCCATAACGTGCTTCCAGCTGTGACTTTCCAGCTTGTGTCCCTGACTCAGGGAGCCCCCGACCCCCTTTCACTTCTGCCTCCACCGTGCTGCCAACAACCCGCAGAGGTCAGAAGCCCAGAACCCTCTGGAGGCCAGTTGACTCTTGGGAAGGAGGCAGCTGTCCCCCCAAGAAGCACCAGAACCAAATGACGTTGCGGTCGGCTGCCTGGACACGGGCCTTGAGGCTTGTCGGAAGTCACCAAGGCCGAGGGACTTCTGGATAACCGTGATCAGGGATGCAGTGAGCTAGCTGCAGCCTCCCAGGCTCTCCCAGTGAGTTGGGGGCCTGGCCGGGACTCTGTCCTGGAGACGGCATCCTCCTGAGACTGGGCCACACTCAGATCATCAGGCAGGGCCTCAGACCTTCCCCGCTGCTGCCTCCTCGACCCAGGCCCTGCCCTCACTTGTACCAAAGGTTGCCCCCCTCGGTGCGGTAGGTGTCTTCGACAATGGAGGTGACTTGGCTGGGTGGCCCTGGTCCTAGGTGTCTGTGTTGTTAGCAGCAAATTGCCCCTTCACCCTACCATCTCTCAAGGAGTCAAGGCCCCCAGCTCGACTCCCTGTTTCCAGTCCCCAAACCTCAATCCCTCCTGGGGGTTGGGGATGAGACGACATACTGGTAGTTGCCACCTCAGCAAGTTCTTGGGGTTCTTTCCTCTGCGGCTGCCCAGAGGCTCACCTGATGTCCTTCACCAGCCCTTGGAACCCTGGAGAAGAGTTCTGCTAAAGGCATGCAGCTGGCAGCCCCCTTTCTTGGCACCTTTGCCCTGTCCCGGGGCTCTAGACTTCCACTGTGGGGAGGCTGTGGGACCAAGGGCTGTGATGGCCCTTCTGTTGTCAGGTACAACAGGAGCTTGGACCTGGAATCCAGGTGAAAGGGGTTCGCAGCCCACCGCCACCACTACCACCACCAAGTAGTGTTCACGCACTCCTTTCTTCAATCAGTGGAGTCCTGTCACCCCAAGTGCTCTGCTTTCCAGGTACCTGGAGAATCTTAATTGCTGGGACTGGACTATGTCTCACACCGAAGTCCACTGCACCTGACCAGTCTCAGAATTGACTCCAAGAAGCCTGAATGGAAGGTGGTGTGACATCCATGGGTCCTTAGCCTTAAGGACAAAAAAAAAAAAAAGACGCCAGACTTCTGGTCCCTGGGGGGAGAACCCCTTTGTTTGCTACAGGAGCAGCTTGTTCCCCTGTCTTTACGAGAGCTGGCAGAGCCGAGTGCTGGGCACAGCCAGACACACTGGCCCCAACCATGTGGGTGTGTGTGGAGCAGGAGCGGGTGCACACGCCTCACAGCTACCTCTCTGCACACACACAGCTTCTTCTAACAGACGGTCCTTCCCCTTTCCCTGCCCCCATTACAATCACTTTTCGCAGAGGGTCATAATTCTTTCCAAATATTACTGGTCCGATGACTTCCTCCTCCCAGTGCAATTTTTTTTTTCTTTCCACTTCCTATTCCAACCTCTAGTTCCTGGGCTGAGCCATACCCTGGACCTGGCCCACCCTGCTTGTCTTCCCTGTAAGGGAAAACTTCGCAACCGGTATCCAAATGGGTAGGCAAGTCACAGCCACGGTAGCAAATAACTCCTATTTATTTTGCATAAGATTTTAATTTGTATATTTTTGTGATTTATTTTGGCATCGTTATGAGTTTGACTCTCGGGGAGTTTCGTTGTTATGCCTCTTGTGTCTTTTGTCACAAAACTGATAATATTTGCTAAACAATATATGGAATTTATTTTTGATTGGTAATAAAAGATGAAATATATATACACCTTGGTGAGTTGGCACCTTCCACGTTTGCATTGCTTCCGTGTTTCCACATCTGTTGTAAAAGCAGAAGTGGCCGTGGCTGGCCATCACTTACCGACAGGACAAGGGGCAAAGAAATATCTGTAGATAGTTTAGCAGGGAGAGGCAAGTGGAAATTAACTTACAGAACATATACACAGTCTAGGCTGTTGCTAGAGGAGTCCAGAGAGACAGCTGCTGGTGACATCCGGGGCAAAGCACCCAGTACCATCATCACCAACCTGGATGGCTTAGGGTGTCGCCAGCAACTGTTGAGATGCACTGGGGATGAGCAGGTTGCCCCTTCTCTCTTCCTAGCAGCTGAGGGACAAGTAGGGCTACAATCGTGCTGTTATTAGCCACAGTGGCCACACTTGGGTTGGGCTTGAGATTCAGACTGACACCCCTTTGCGTGTCCAGCTGTGCAGACTCCTCCAGCAGGGGTGGTGGCTGGTGGGAGCCTCCAAGGAAGGCCGGGACTCTGCCACCACGGCTTCACCGAGCAGAGAGCTTGGGGAGAAGCTGGACAAAGCTGGCACTTGAGGATATTCCAGAAAAACAGGAACGGATAGAAAAGTTTGTGTAGGGGCGGGCTCTGTCTGCTCCACACATCTAAGGCCCACTACAGGCCACGTGCTGCAGACTCCTCAACAGGTCAGGGGAGAAGACCCCCCTTATGGAGCTAGTCCCACCAGGGCCTTCTGACATGCTGTCCTCTCGGCCTAGGACACTTCTTCCAGGTGGCATGCTGCTCACCCTTCGTCTGCTCAAACATCACCTTCTTGGAGAAGCCTGCCCTGACTACCTCCATGTTAGACAGCATCCCCCTCAATACCTCTGTCTCCTTTGCCCACCCAGCTTTTCCCCCACAGCACTTAGCCACTTTGTGGGACAGGCACTGTGGCACAGCTGACTAAGCTGTGGCTTGCAATGCCTGTCTACCATATTTGAACTTCCTGCTGGGGCACCTGGGAAGGCTACAGATGACAGCCCAAAGTGCTGTGTCCCTGCCACCCACATGGAAGCCTGGGATGGAGTTCCTGACTCTTGGTGTAGGCCTGGCCCAGCCCTGGCTGCTGTGTGCGTCTGGGAAGTGAACCCGTACATGGAAGATCCTGAAAAGCCAGGTGTCTCCACTGATGACGATTAACCAGGGATGGGGCAGAGAATGGCGCATTCTCAAAGGCTGACTGTGAGCAGCACTCTCCTACATCTGCTGCTCTTTTTTTTTTTTGGCCCCCAATTGGGTTTTTGTATCTCTGGGTATTAGTTTAATGACCAGTTCTGTTCAGTAAAGGTCATGTACAATTCTACACTGCCCGGGGAGTCGTCCCTCTTGTCCCTCTTCTAAAGCAACTTGAGGGCCCGTCTAGGTGGCCTAGCAGTTAAAGTCCTCGCCTTGCACATGCCAGGATCCCATACGGGCGCTGGTTCTAATCCCAGCAGCCCCGCTTTCCATCCAGCTCCCTGCCTGTGGCCTGGGAAAGCTGGGGAGGATGGCCCAAAGCTTTGGGACCCTGCACCCGTGTGGGAGACCAGGAAGAGGCTCCTGGCTCCTGGCTTCGGATTGGTGCAGCTCCGGCCATTGTGGTCACTTGGGGAGTGAGTCATTGGACAGAACATCTTCCAGTCTCCTCCTCCACTCTCTCTCTCTCTCTCTATATATATATATACTTATATTTGACTTTGCAAAAAAAATTTTTTTTAAAGCAACTTGAAGCGCTTCCGTGGTCCTGAGGAATTCTCCCTCAGATGAACGGCCAGAAAGCAGTTAGTCTCTACAGAGGCTTGAACGGCCCTGTGTGCTTCTCGGGCGTTTGGACGCGGATGTGTCTCGGGCTTCTCTTCACTCCTGTCAGGTATTAGCTCCCGCTTGGTGGCTGCGAGGGTAGCAGGAGGCTGGGGTTGTGTGTTTTAGGCCTCTCCAGCTGCAACGCGACTTTCCTTGAAGATAGCTAGGGCCTGTGTTGTTCCCGGGGCCCACAGCCCGGAGCCCCGCGCAGTGACAACATCACAAACCCGCAGCTTGCCCGTTTTACTTCGGGTCCTTTCAGCCCTGTCTGCAGGCAGCGGATCGAACCGGGGCCCTCTCCCAGAGAAAAGGACCCCATATTCCCCTCCGGCTCCGCCAGCCCTTCCCGGACGCTGGGCCCCGTGACTCAAGCGAGCCGCCGTTCCCGCTTTGGTGTCCCAGTCACTCCGGGGGACTTCCGAGGGCGGCGGGCAGGGGGGTCGGAGACCCGGCCCGCGTCCTCCGCGTCCTCCGCCTCCCGGAGCAGGCCGCCCTTTCCCCTTCGCAGCCCCGGCCAGGTTCCCTGGGGCGGAGAGCTCCACGCCCCCGACCCGCCCCGCGCCGCCGCTTGTTTACTCCCCGGCGCAGCCTAGTCCGACCCTGGGGCCCGCCCCCCGCCCGCCGTCTATTGGCCGAGGGGCGCACAGGCCGGTCCCGATTGGGCCGCGGGAGGCGGAGGCGCCGGGGCGAGCGGGGTAGGCTGCACGAGAGGCCGAGAGGGGGCAGCAGGCGATGGCGGCGGCGGCGGGTCGGCTGGGCTGGTTGGTCGCTGCGCTCTGCTTGGGCAACGCCGCCGGGGAAGCGGCGCCGGGTCTGCAAGTGTTGGGTTTCTGTGTGGAGGAGGACGAAGCGCCCGGTGTGGAGTGGGCGCGCGGAGGGGCGGCGCGTGCCGTGCCGGAGGCCACCTTCCGCTTGCGCCTCTTCGGCTCGGCTTTGGCCAACAGCTCCTGGACCTGTGTGACCCCCAAGGGGACGGGCTGCCCCGAGGGCGAGGCGGTCGCGGCGCCCGAGGAGACGGCGGCGGCGGCCCTCACGGACGAGTGGCGCGCGCTGCTGTGCCTGCGCTCCGAGGCCCTGCGCCCGCACTCGGCGCTGCTCGCTGTGCGCGTGGAGCCGGGCGGCGGGGCGGCCGAGGAGTCGGCTCCGCCTTGGGCGCTGGGCCTGGGGGCGGCCGGGCTGCTGGCGCTGGCGGCGCTGGCGCGGGGCCTGCAGCTGAGCGCGCTGGCGCTGGCGCCGGCCGAGGTGCAGGTGCTGCGTGAGAGCGGCTCGGAGGCGGAGCGTGCGGCGGCGCGGCGTCTGGAGCCCGCGCGGCGCTGGGCCGGTTGCGCCTTGGGCGCGCTGCTGCTGCTGGCCAGCTTGGCGCAGGCGGCGCTGGCGGTGTTGCTGTACCGAGCGGCCGGCCAGCGCGCCCTGCCCGCCGTGCTGGGCTGCGCGGGGCTGGTGTTCCTGGTGGGCGAGGTGGTGCCGGCCGCCGTGAGCGGCCGCTGGACGCTGGCGCTGGCGCCGCGCGCTCTGGGCCTCAGCCGCCTGGCGGTGCTTCTCACCTTGCCCGTGGCGCTGCCGGTCGGTCAGCTGCTGGAGCTGGCGGCGCGTCCCGGGCGGCTGCGGGAGCGCGTCCTGGAACTGGCTCGCGGCGGCGGCGACCCCTACAGCGACCTCAGCAAGGGCGTGCTGCGCTACCGGACGGTGGAAGACGTGCTCACGCCCCTCGAAGACTGTTTCATGCTGGATGCCAGCGCGGTGCTGGACTTCGGCGTCCTGGCCAGCATCATGCAGAGCGGCCACACGCGCATCCCCGTGTATGAGGAGGAGCGCTCCAACATCGTGGACATGCTGTACCTCAAGGATTTGGCCTTCGTGGACCCGGAAGACTGCACACCTCTCAGCACCATCACTCGATTCTACAACCACCCGCTCCACTTCGTCTTCAACGACACCAAGCTGGACGCCGTCCTGGAGGAGTTCAAGCGAGGTAATGGCCTGGGGGGGAGGGCGTCTCGCTTCTGGTTAAAGAGAGGGGGCTCATGGGACCTGGGGGGCGGGGAAGGGAAGGTCGGGGAACCTGCAAGGGCTGGGAATGAGCTTTTTTCAAGTGTTAAGGATCCAACTTCCCTCCAGCTGTCTTCAGGATGGCCCCCTCCCCAGCTGGCTCCAAACTCCAGGTCTTACCAACCCCCAGGCCATTTCCATGTGAGCAGGCTTTGTATGTAGCCCATTCGAGCTGTTGGATGAAGCTCAGTGGCTACAGCTAAGGTGGTCTCCAGACCCTGGCACATCTCTGTGCAGCTAGCAGCGCCTGGGACGTCCCCAGGCCATTGGTGAGCTCCCTGCCCATTGCTGCTCTCACGTAGGTGAGGGGGTGACTGGCAGGTACTCCTGCTTTCCTGCAGGTGTGAAACTTTCCCTCTGATTCCATCAAAAACAACTTTATGGGTGCAGATTTAATTTCTCTTTCCCCTTTCTCTTTTAAAAAAAAGATTTATTGACTTTTTTTGGAAAGGCAGATCTTAGAAGAGATAGAGAAGATCTTCCATGCACTGATTTATTCCCCAAATGGCCAAAGCTGAGCCGATCTGAAGCCAAGATCCAGGAGCTTCTTTGGGGTCTCCCACATGGGTGCAGGAGTCCAAGGATTTGAACCATCCTCTGTTGCTTTTTCAGGTCCCAAGTAGGAACTGGATGGAAAGTAGAGCAGCCAGGACATGAACCGGCGCCCCTATGGGATGCTGGCGCTTGGAGGTGGAGGATTAGCTGGTAGAGCCATCGTGCTGATCCCTCATCTTTCATTTTCCAAACCGTTGAAGCTATTATCTTCACTGCTGTGGGCTTGCCCTTGGTCCAGGACTGTTGTGCTTCCCAACCCATCAGGACAGGCTCAGGGGTGGGATCTGAACACAGGACTGTGAGTTCTTTGAACTGAGCGGTGGCCAGTGTGGAAACCAGGAGGAGAAGGTCATGAGAGCTGAGCGGCCACAGCACTGAGGCCTGAGAGGAGGTCCAGGAGGCTTGGGAGTTTGTGGTCACCTGAGGGGCTAGAAATGAGGTCTGTCCCCGTACCCGACCCATTTTTGCCTGCCCGCGTGCCAGGTAGGGTACAGGTGTGTTCTGGGCATGGGCATGGTGTCTGCAGTATTCCCAAGTAGCTGGGAGCTCCTGTTGAGGTGCGAGGGGAGGTCTGCTGCAGGGGTCAGTTCTGGACAGCAGGGAGGCCAAACCCCCAGGGTGCCCACAGGAGGGAGGGATGGAGGGGGTAGGGTGGGCAGGGAGGAATTGTCAAGGAGAAGTGGGAGGCCAAGGACAGACATGGAGGAAGTTCAGCAGGGAGCTGGCCTGCAGCCAGGATGCCCTTGACCTTTGAGGGAGCAGAATTGATGCCATGGCGGCCACAGGAAAATGAATTGGGACATGAGGACGGGCAGGCTTTTGACAGATTGCAAGCCAGGGCATGGGAACTGGAGGCTGTGGCAGGTTTCGGTGGAAATGTTGAGAAGGAAGAAACTTTTCAAGCCCCTTTGGAGAGGTTTTCAGAATGCCCATTTCGGGGATTGTTCTAGAAGCTGCCTGACAACGCACTACAAAACCTCCTGGAGGCTGAACAGGGAGCCTGTAGTCCCTTCTCGACCTCCTCACTTGCATGTCCCATGCAGTGTGGGGCCCCAGTCTTTGGTCCTAACCTCCTTACATGTTCCCCGGCTACCAGACAAAGAGTGTATTGCAAGCTTTGTGGCACATGAGGGTTTGCCAAGTCCATTTGCTTCTCATCCTTTGAGCTTCCTGGAGCTGGAGGCCTTGGCATCTTAAAAGCTGCTGTTCTGGACCCCATTGCTTGCTCGCTCTCCCCACTTCCGAAGAGTGTCCTGTGCTGGGGAACTTGTTAGTCTGGGAGGGGCGCCCCCAGTCAGCATGAACCAGAGCCGACATGCTGGTTGATCCTGTGCAGATGCCACAGGAAGAACCACGGTTTCTAAGCTCTGAGCTGTGTAGGGAGTGACTTATGGTTTCTCCATCAGTCCACTAAACTCTCCCTGCCTTTTCCATCAGCCTTGGCCAGAGAGGCCAAGGGTAGCCAGGTTCAGTGCTGGGTTCTGGTTTACTGCCTCTCGGAAACCCGATGACAGCCACCAGGCCAGTCAACTGGAAGGAGCACTCATTGGTTGTGGCACACGGTTTTGGTTTCTTTAGGGAACAGAGGTGGGGCAGGGGGCATGTGGTGGTACAGTGGATCAGGCTGCTAGTGGAAGGCTCACACCCCATGACAGTGCCTAGGATGGAGTCCTGCTTTACTTCCAACCCAGCTTCCTGCTGATGCACCAGAGAGGTGACACATGATGGCCTAAGTACTTGAGTTCCTGCCATCCATGTGGGAGTGCATGGAGTTCCTGGCTCTCAGCTTCTGCTTAGTCAGGTCCTCACTGTCAAGGGCATTTGAGGAGTGGTGCATCAGCAGGTAGAAGATACCTCTCTTTATCTGTCATTCTGCTTTTTAAATAAGTAAAAATGAGTAAATAAACATTTTTTTTTAAAGGTGGAAAGATTTAGACACCAGTAGCACAGTTGAATGTCCTTGGAGCTAGCGATGTGTCAGGGCCGGCCTGGTGCAGCAGGTAGCAGAAGCAACCCTTGAGCCCGACAGCCAGCGTAGTTAAGCCGTAGAGCCCTCAGGTGCATGAGCCGGTCATGTTGGGCACTCGTGCTAGCTCAGGGAAGCGTGGATGCTCATGAGTGATTCCTGGCCTTCATGCCTGCCCCAGCATCCTGCCTGTGTCTCCCTGCTGCTTTCTGAGCTGGCAGACATTGTGTTGGGATTTAATTGTGTGGCCACTGTTGGGGTCTCTTCAGGAGGCCCCTCTTGCTTCTGGTTATTGTTGAGTCCTCCCAGTGTGGCCAGTCATAGAGAAATGTGCACCTATTTCAGAGGGGTTTGTTTAAAGATTTAGTTATTTTTGTTTGAAAGGCAGAGTTATAGAGCAAAGGAAAGACAGAGATCTTCTATCTGCTGGGTGAAGCCAAGAGCTTCTTCTGGCTCTCCCACATGCAAGGGGCCCAAGGACTTAGGCCATCTTCCAGTGATTTCCCATGTGCATCAACTGGGAGCTGGATCAAGTAGAGCATCAACAACTTGAACCAGCGCCCCATGGGATGTTGGCGCTGCAGGTAGAGGCTTACCCTGATGCGCCACGATGCTGGCCACCTCACAGAAGTTGGAAAGTAAGGAACAATTGGCACCTTCCTCTAGACGACTGCCGTGGAGCAGGGGACCAGGTTCCTGGAGAGAGGGAGCCGTGGTGAGGCCTTCTGCTCCGAGACTACTGTCTTGAGCCTGTGCTTTGATTCTGTCGTGCTCCTGGCCTTCCTGGTCTGGCCTGGCAGGCTGTGTTCTGTGGCAGGGCAGCCCTGGCCCTGGTGGCAATGGGACCACACCAGACAGGGCAGTGGGCGCCATCTGGAAGCATTGTGCGCTTGTTTCTGTGTTTGTGGCCTCGCAGGAGCTCAAGGGGAGCTTCAGGGGGAAGGGGGAAGCTGCTTCCGGTGGTCATTTCTGCCTTTAACTTTTGTCCCAGCATGTTAGAGCATCGTGAGGAGAAATGCTCCTGTAATTAAGCCTCAGAACATGCCCAGTATGATTTGCATATCAGCATGAACTTGAATTGTTATTTTCCTGAAAAGGCTTTTTTGTTGTTGCTTAATTTTTTTTTTTTTACTTTTTTCCCCCCACATTTTATTATTATTGCTATCATTTTATACAGTTCCATATTCCCTTATCCCCTCCCCAATTCCCTCCGCCCCAGTTCCTTTATATCATTACTAACATATAGTTCTTCATACTCAGTCATATGTTCATCATTGCGGGCATGGACAATGGCAGAGAGTCCAGAATCCTATTGTCAAAATATAATACAAACAGTTTCACTGTAAGTCCATCTTTGTCTGGAAACAGAAATGCATACCACACTGCATCCTCACATCTGGTTGTTAGTCTCCATTACATAACTACTGTACATTCCCTTAAATGAAAAGTCATGATACAAAATCAACAATAGAAAGAAAAATAGAAATTTACAGTGCCATGAAGTTAAATGACATGTTACTAGATATGACAGTCTCCATTACACAACTACTTTACCTTCCCTTAAATGAAGAGCCACAAAACAAAATCAACATCCGAGAGAAAAAAGAAATTAACAACATCCAAGAAGTTAAACAACATGCTATTAAATGTCTAACGTGTAGCTGAAGAAGTGAAAATCAAGAACCTTCTTGAAGAAAATGATGCCACTGCATGATCTATGAGTCATTGAATGATTTAATCAGAAGAAAGTGTCTTGAAGAGGTGAAACCAACAGAAAACAACAAAACCCATGTGATAGAGTTTCCGCTGCTCTTTGTTGGAGTGTGTCTCCTCCCGACAATAAACAGATGGGTTTTGTTTTTTAATCCAGTCTACTAATCTATGATGTTTGATTGAGCTTAAGCAATTTACATTCAGAGTTAAATATACATAGGTGGTACTTTGGTCCTGTCATTTTAGGAATGGGTTGTTCATTGATTTAATCTTCTGTTGCCATTTTACTGGGATGTTCTTCCCCTTTGCCTTTGGTTTTGGTAGGTGCTATTCCTCTTTGTCAAGAGAACATCTTGAAGTATCATTTGTAGGGCAGGTTTGGAAGAGGCAAATTCTTTTAGCTTTTCTTTACTTTGGAAGAATTTTATTTCATTTTCAAAGATGAAAGAAAGCTTTGCTGGGTATGTTATCCTAGGCCGACAATTTTTTTCTTTTAGAATCTGGAATGTGCCACTCTGTTCTCTTCTTGCCTGTAGAGTTTCCAGTGAGAGATCTCCTGTGAGCTTAATTGGCATTCCTTTATATGTCAATTGATGTTTTTCACGTGCACATTTAAGGATCTTTTCCTTATGTTCAATTGAAGAGAGTTTGATAATCATATGCCTTGGTGAAGATCGCTTTTGATCAAGCCTGTTGGGAGTTCTGTGTCCCTCCTGGATCTTGTTTCCCAATTCTTTCTCCAGATTAGGGAAATTTTCCTTTATTATTTCATTAAATACATTTGCAAACTCAGCTTCTCTTTCTGCACCTTCCGGGACTCCCATAACTCTTCTATTTGGCCTCTTAGTGTCTTTCAATTCTTGAATACTTTTTTTGGCCTGATCCAGCTCTGCTTCCAGCTTTTTGTTTGCTTCCCCCTGGTGACAGGAGATATCTGCCAATTCTGAGATTTTTTTTCTTCTGTTTGCTTCATTCTATGTTGGAGACTCTCCACTGTACTTTTAATTTGCTCTACTGTGTTCTTAATTTCTGATATACCAGCCTTGATTTGCTTTACTGCTTCCTTAAATTCTTTGAACTCTTGCATGAGCTTCTCATTTTTGACCAGAATGTTCAAAATAAGTCTTATGGATTCTGTGTCCCCTATTTTCTCAATGTCTTCCTCAGTTAACTCTGAGGTTGGCATAGGGTTTTGCTCCTTTGCGGGGGAGTGCTCAGTAATATTCATTGTGACTTTGTCTCTTCTTTTGCTCTTGCTCATTGTACTTCTGGTTAGCAGAGTCTTCTTCTTGGGGCAGGTTTCTAAGCTGTGTCACCCACAGGTCTACAATGCGATTTTACTTATTGCAGTTGGTACACACCTTTTTGCTTGCAGCCACTTGTGCCACAACCTCCAGCGAGTTCCAGGTCTGGGTTCTTATGTCAGACATCCACCGTTGTCTCCACAGCCCCAGCTCTTGGCTCACCACTTTCCACCTCTTGTGATACCATGCTGAGGCTGCACTGTTGTCTCTGCAACCTTTCTCCCTCTTCCGGTTGGAGTGGGTTCCAGGATTAAAGAGACACCAGGTGTCCTATCTAGTTAGGTTGTTGGTGGTGTTGATCTTGTCGGAGCCTGTTGGACGTTAGGTCTGGGTGCCACACGGACCTATTTTGACCGGTACAATGTCACAGTCGGTATTGTTTTCCTGCGGGACCTCAGCAAGCTCTTGTGAGCTCAGCACATGCACAGTTCTCTGTTGTCCCCTGCAGTCCCAAAGCTATTGCCACAGTGCATAAAATGGCACCCGACGTGCTACCACAACAGTTCTTGATCTGCTGGCTGTCAGATCCGAGGGCTACCCAGATATGCCCCGGATGGAACCCGTAGAATGCCATGTCGTTGCAGTTCACCGAGTCAGAAATGAGCTCACTCCGTGCTCAGAGCATGCTCAGTCCTTTCCCTTGCCCTTTTCTCCTTAAGCAAAATGGTGCCCAGTTCAGCTCTAGGGGGCTGTCTGGGCTATGAAATTCACTCTGTTCTCGCACTGCCTGAGATCTGCTGCTCTGTCTCTGCTCCTGGTCAAATCAAAGGGACCAGCAGGATGGACAGTACTTTGTCTGGGTTTACCTCCCAAGCTCCCAGTGAAAGTCCCTTCCCACCTGGTTGCTGGTGAAGTTCCGTCTGCTGTTGGAGTTTAGATTGCCGTGCTGGAATATCATTCACTGCAACATCACACTGCTGTGCCCGCTGCTTTCCTGTGTCTGTCTGTCTCCAGGTACCCCTCTGCTGTTGTTCTGTCCTTTCCTATTTTCTGAAATATGTCCTCTCTGCTTCATCCTGATTAAATGTTTCTCCGTCTGATTAAACGTATCCTTACCCTATTCCGTCATCTTGATTCTCCTGTTGCTTAATTTTTTAAAGATTGATTTATTTACTTGAAATAAGTAGACTTGTAGAGCAGGGCAGGAGAGATGAGGTGTGGGGGACACAAAGAAAGGTCTTCCTTCTGCTGGTTCACTCTCCAAAGGCTACAGCAGCCAGAGCTGAAGTCAAGATCCTGGCACTCCAGCCTGTTCACCTTAGATTCCCAGGGGCCCACCCACTTGGGCCGACTTTCTGTCCTTTCTCTGGCACATTAGCAGGGAATTGGATCTAAAGAGGAGTGATTGGAATTCCAACCATCACTCATGGGATACTGCTGGGACACAAACCAGCACTGCAGGTGGAGAATTATTTTGCTGTGCCACCTTGTTGACCCTTCGATTTTCTTTCTAGGGCAGTTACTTAAAGATGGCTTGCATCCTGTTTAAGACAAATCTGACATTTTATGAATGAAAAGCACTTAGCTGACACATCCAATGGATTCCCAAAGTTTCCTCAGTATTCCCCATTTAAAGATTTGCTTACTCTTTTTGGAAAGGCAGATTTACAGAGGGAAGGAGAGACAGAGAAAGAAAGATAGATCTTCCATTCACTGGCTCGCTCCCCAATGGCCACAGCAGCTGGAGCTGAGCTAATCCAAAGCCAGGAGCTTGGAGCTTCTTCTGGGTCTCCCATGTGGGTGCAGCATCCCGAGGATTTGGGCTGTCCTCTGCTGCTTTCCCAGACTATAAGCAAGGAGATGGATGGGAAGTGCAGCAGCGGGACACAGACCTGTGCCCATATAGGATGTGGTCTCTTGGAGGTAGAGGATTAGCTAGTTGAGCCAATGTTTTGGCCCCCAACGTTTTTTTTTTTAAGTTTTATTTATTTTTATTGGAAAGGCAGATTTACAGAGGGAAGGAGAGACAGAGAGAGAGATCTTCCATTCTCTGTTTCATTCCCAAAATGGTCACAATCATCAGACCTGAGCCAATGTTGAAGCCAGGAGCCAGAAGCCTCTTCTGGGTCTTTCCTGTGGATGCAGGGGCCCAACCACTGAGGCCCTCCTCCACTGCTTTCCCAGTTCCCTTAGCAGGGAGCTGGGCCCGAGGGGAATTGGAGCAGCCAGGAATGAAAACAGCACCCATGTTGGATGCTGGCACTGAAGGCAGTGTCTTTCCCACTGTGCCACTGTGCTGGCCTTGACTTGGGTCATCTTCAAGCTTGAATTTCTTCACTCAGCAAGCCCAGTAGGGAGCTGAGAACAGCCTTGGGAAGATGTTGGATCCCCAAAGATGTAGGGCTCCCAAAAGTTGCCTACGTCTGATCTCCAGCCCCTCCAGGAACACTGGCCACCTGCAGGGCAGCCTGTTGAGTTGGGGGGACCCATGCAGCCTACCATGCCAGGGGGGCTTGGGTCCTCATTTGCACATGCCTGCAGCCTGCTTGCTGTGCCAGGCACTAGTGTTCCTAGCATATCCTTGTCCAAACTGCCGTGTGCTGAGTCCCCGCTCTGCTGTTCTCTGCTTGGACAGCCTCTTGCAGGTGAAATCCCAAGATCTCATTTCTTTGACGGTAAAACATGATGAGTCCTTGTAAGTGTGTTGACAGCTTTGGAAAGGACCTAGGAAGTGCCCAGTGCCCAGTTCTTTTTTAGGAGTGCAAATATTGGCTCCCATGCTCCTGACGGGCCCATCTGGGGAGCCAGAGACAAGTGGGGGGCCCTCTAACACCCGTTACAGGAGTGTTCCCTCCCCACAGGCAAGTCCCACCTGGCCATCGTGCAGAAGGTCAACAACGAGGGTGAGGGAGACCCCTTCTACGAGGTCCTGGGCCTGGTCACCCTGGAGGACGTCATTGAGGAGGTCATCAAGTCTGAGATCCTGGATGAGTCGGAGGACTACCGTGAGTCGGGGCCCCAGGCAGAACAGGAGCTGGGAGTGTGCCCTGCTGTCTGGCTCACACCCTCAGGCCTCCAGGCAATCCATGGCACCTGTCATTGAGGGGCCCTACCTGCCCTGACCTTTCCCACTTTTCTCGGGGCTTTTGTTTTAGATGATTCTGTGTTTGGGGATTCTGCTCAAACAACCCATTCCTTGCTAGAGGGGAGTCTTCCCCAGCAGACAGGCCTGGGCCCCTCATGGCATCTGTTTCTCCTACGTCAATGGCTGGAGTCTGCAGGACTGTGCTATGCCTGTCCCTGACCCTCCTCTCATCTTGCAGAGCCTTTGGCTTCAGCCAAGCATCTCTCCACAGGCTTAGCATCTTTAACTTGGTTCCTGAGACTGCCACAGGCACAGCAACACCAGCTTAACTGCTGCCAGTCTGCGCCAGTCATCCTCCAGTGCACACTTGGCAGTGAGGGGTCTCTCAGGAGGCTTTTCTTATTTGTTTTAATATGTATTTGAAAGGCAGAGGAAAGGGCAGGAAAGATGTCTTTCATCAGCTGGTCACACAAAGCCAGTAGCCTGGAAGTCTTATCAGTTCTCCCATATGGATGGCAAGCACTTGGGCCATCTTCTGCTGGTTTTCCAGGTGCGTTGGCAGGGGGCAGCCCAGACTGAAACTGGAATTCACATGGAACGCTGGCATCATAAGCAGCATTTTTATTGGAAAGGTGGATCAGATTTATGGATAGAAGGAGAGTCAAGAGAACCATCTACTGGTTCACTGCCCAAGTGGCCACAATGGCTTGAGCTGTGTCAGTCTGAAGCCAGGAAATTCTTCCAGGTCTCCAACAATGGGTGCAGGGTCCCAAGGCTTTGGGCCATTTTCTGCTGCCTTCTCGGCATAAGCAGGGTGCTAGATGGGGAGGAAGTAGAGCAGCTGGGACATAGAACGGGCACCCATATGTGATCCTGGCACGTGCAAGGTAAGGATTTAGCTGCTGGGCGCAATAGGCAGTATCATAGCCCATACACCATAATACTGTACCAAGCTGTTGTCTTTTTTTTTTTTTTTTAAGATTTTATTTTTATTATTTTGTTTATTGGGAAGGCGGATATACAGAGAGGAGAGACAGAGAGGAAGATCTTCCATCTGATGATTCACTCCCTGAGTGAGTGCAACGGCCGATACTATGCCGGTCCAAAGCCAGGAGCCTCTTCCGGGTCTCCCACGCGGGTGCAGGGTCCCAAAGCTTTGGGCCGTCCTCAACTGCCTTCCTGGGCCACGGGCAGGGAGCTGGAAGGGAAGCGGGGCTGCTGGGATAGAACCGGTGCCCACATGGGATCCCGGGCATGCAAGGCGAGGACCTTAACCACTTGCGCCACCGCACTGGGCCCCAAGCTGTTGTCTTATTTAAGCTACTTTGCTCTCCTTTGAGTATTTTCTTCACCAACTCCAGGACACAGAGGTGTCCTTTGTGCACTAATTTGGGGATGTATCTTGAACATGGACCACTGCCCTGTGCCTTGGGGAGAAGGAAGAAGTGTGGGAGCTGCCTGGCTTGGGATGTGGATGGGCCTGTGTCTGTGACACCCATGCCCGCCGTCTTCTCAGGGGAGATCCTGGCAAGGAGGAGGCCGGCTGTTCCAAGTGCACCCCTCAAGCGGAAGGAGGAGTTTTCCCTGTTCAAGGTGTCTGATGATGAGTGTAAAACCAGAATCTCACCTCAGCTGCTGCTGGCCACCCAGCGCTTCCTCTCCCGAGGTGAGGGGAAGGGTGCTTCCTGCCCCCGCTCTCCCTCTCGGCCCAGGGGCGGGAGATGGCTCTGCTCCCTACTCCTAGGAAGGACTGTGCTGCTGCCACCAGCCCAGGCGATGGCCTAGTCATCTGCTGGGTGACAGCCAGACTGAACTGGTGCCCCCAGCCAGGCCCCAGCCCAGCAGGTGTCAGGGGATACCCGACTCTCGGCTTTCTCATGCTCCGGAGGTGCTCGCCCTGGTGGGCCAAGGGAGCCAGGTGTGGTTACACGGGCTGCCTTTCCCACTGCGGATTAGAGGTGGATGTGTTCAGCCCACTCCGAGTCTCCGAGAAGGTCCTGCTGCACCTGCTGAAGCATCCCAGCGTCAACCAGGAAGTACACTTTGACGAGAGCAACCGCCTGGCTGCACATCACTACCTGTACCAGCGCAGCCGGCCCGTGGACTACTTCATTCTCATCCTGCAGGTAATGGGGCTCTGGGCCTGAAGCATGCTGTTTCCTCAGAAACTAGGGAGGGCTCTCCCCAGACAGTGGGAACAGGGACACCCAGATACACTCCCCATGCCGAGGGTTCCTTCTCGTGTCCTCTGACGGGAACTCTGATTGTCACCATCTGTTCTCACCCTGACCCACCTTCTTCCCAGGGCAGAGTGGAGGTAGAGATTGGGAAAGAGGGCCTGAAGTTCGAGAATGGGGCCTTCACCTACTATGGAGTGTCTGCCCTGACAGCACCGTCCTCGGGTAAGCCCATGGGTTTGCAGGGCACCAGCCATGCCCCCCAGCAGGTGCTACCCAGAGGGCGGGGTGGCAGTGAGTGTGTTCTAGCCCCCTGCCTGCAGCACCAGCTTGCCTTCCCCCCACGCCCACCCCACCCTCTGTCGCTGCAGCTGTGTGGCCTGAATGCTGAGGGGCCGTACATGACACCTCCCCATGTCCCCAGGCTGGGCGTGCCCTCCTCCTACCTCAGCCTCCATCGTCACTGATTCTTCCTTTCACTAGTTCACCAGTCCCCAGTGTGCTCGCGCCCGCCTGCCCGTCCTGACCTGCAGCCCGAGCCGGCTGACTGCACCCGCTCCTCCACGTACTGTCCTGACTACACCGTGAGGGCCCTCTCTGATCTGCAGCTCATTAAGGTGACCGCCTGGGCTGCTCACTGGGGCTGTTGGATGTATTTATTTCCTGGAGAGACACAGAGTTCTGTCTGCCCATGGACTTTCCAGATGCCCAGCAGTAACTGGGTGGAACCTGGTCACTGGGTACTCGGCCCAGGTCTCCTGGGCAAGAGCAGGGACTCAGTTACTTGGGGCCGTGTCCTGCTGCCTCCCAAGGTGCACACTGGAAGAAAGTGGGAAGTGGGAGCAGAATTAGAATTTGAGTCCAGGTGCTTTGATGTGGGAGGCAGGTCTCTGAGCTGCCACACTGACCACCAGGCCTGAAGCCCACCCCAGCATTGTGTCCATGGGAAGCTAGGGTGACCAGTGACAAGCTGGCATGGATGGAGAGCAAACTGATTCTCTCCAAGGTTGCCCCAGAGTAAGGCCCTGCATTGGATCTGCAAGATGGGACCTTGGCTCCAGGGAATTCTCCCCTCATCTGACCCCCTAGCCCTGACCACTGAGGACTGGGCCCGTTCTCCATCAGAGGCCTTACAGGAGTTACACTCGATTGCCCTTCTCTGCATTTACTCCCTACACTCCCTTTGTCCTTTTTCTCCCAGTGTGATTTTCCCCTCAAGTTCAGGTGTTTGCATGGTCCCTTGCACTTCCTACGACTTGGTTCATAAGTTGCATTGGCTGGACGATGCTCTCTGTTCTCCAGGTTACCCGGCTGCAGTACCTCAATGCACTCCTGGCCACCCGGGCCCAGAGCCTGCCACCATCCCCGGAGAGTGCCAATCTCCAGGTTGTCCCAGGCAGCCAGGCCAGGCTGCTGGGTGAAAAGACGGTTGCAGCAGCCGGTGAGACTTAGGGGGCATATCCCATGGGTCAGGATCCAGAGGGTGCACAAGTAGCCCAGCCTTGGGACCAACATACACACACACTGCCCTGTTTGTCTCCCCAATGCCGCCCCTTCCTTTTGGATGACATCAAATGGTAGAGCAGTTGGTAGTGGTTGCCTTCGCCATGTAGGAGAGGTGCAGGTGCCCTGACATGGTGCTTTGTGTGTCTACCACCCCTGCCTAAAGCAGCTTTGGCTACTTAACTGGCCCCTGAGATTCTCACCACACATTGACACCTTTCTGCATTGTGAGGTGGCCTGCTGGTAGTGTCCCCAGGGAGCTAGTGCTCCCCATGTGGGCCCCCGGCTTTGTGTGTCAATGAGCGGGGACGGCAGGTCAGACCTTGCTTGTTGGGGTCTTGTTAGAGAAAGACACACGCTCAGGTGGTGCTGTGGCTGCCTTCACTCACTGACATGAGCCAGCTTTGTGGGGTGCCTTCTGGGTAGATGCTCACGCCATCAGACTGGACTTGGAGCTAAAAAGCCAGGATGTTCTGTGCTTTTCTAAATGTGTGCCTTTTGGTTTTGGTTTGCCCATATGAGTCTTTCCTGGCTCCATCTGAGTCCCGGCATGCCATGCTCAGGGTGTTCACCTTGTCTGTGTGTGGTGCTGCACCCGGCTCTGTATCCTCAACCATATGCCCTCAGAGGATCTGCCTTAGGGACCACGGGGTGGCCCAGTGTCACCTGCAGAGTCATGCTGGGGCGAGTCCTTTCCAGCGGGTTAAACACTGTCTTCCAGTGGTTGCCACCCGCGTGTACCCTCACCCTGGCCCTCAGGGAGCCTGGCCTGTCAGCTCTTGGCTGGGGCTGTCCCTCATCACTTGGCTCCTCCGCTGGCTGGTGGCAGTGTACCACAGCACCACTTGGGGCAGGTGAGAGCTGTTCTTTGGAGACCTGGGCACTTGGCACGCAGCAGAGGCTGGACACACTGGGGAGGCACAGTCATCTTGAACTGGCCACAACAGGGGCCGGGGCGGGCTGCTCCAGTGCTGATGGAGTGTCTGCCAATGCCTTTTGAGTTGAAAGGGTGGCATTCAGTAATTGTCGCAGGGACCTGCAAGACCTAGGAACACTACAGTAGCTTCCTGATGCTGGCTTCCCATGCCAAGTTCAGAGCGAGCCCCTCTCTCTGCCAGCCGCTTGGGGTGCTGTGCTGCCTGGCCTCCCTCTGTTCTTGGGCGACAGCCCCCGGACGTCCTCTGCCAGGAGATACAGCTGCTGCCCCGGTTGAGAGGCAGTGTGTGGGCTCAACGCTGTCTCCCTCTTTCTTTCCCTCTCCTCTCCTCAGCTTTCCCAGTAGACTTTTCCCTCTTTGGCACATTTGGAAACTGCAGTTGATAAATGACTATGGACTAGTGAGCGTTTTTTGTTTTAAGGAAACACCCAAGGTAAATATCTTTCCTTTTTCCTTTTTGCTCTGTGCCTTCCTGTCCTGGCCTGTTAGCCTCTGGAGGGGTTGTAGACAGCTGTATGGATGGGGAGGGAAGGGGGCTTTTCCAGGAGTGTGAGTGAGTGTGGTGGGCAGGGAGAAGTGGCATGATAATTTCATCTTTCTGGAAGATGGGGAGATGGTGAAAACACCCGCTCAGCCTCCTTCCAGCATAAGCTGTATCTGGCAAGTGCCTGGTACCCAGTACATCGGCCCAGACACCCAGGAGTCTGAGCTCCATGGCCGCTGCCTCCCTGACTCACAGTGGGTGACACCGCTACCTGGGGAGACTTTCCTGGGGTTAAGCCAGGCTGCTTTCCCAGGCAACACTCTCAGCTCTGCCTTGTTACCTGTTAAAGTAGCAGAGGTCTGTCCTGTTCTAAGAGGACTTAGCACTGGGTCCCTTAGGCCCTGCTGCGCCATGTTGCTTTGACACTGACTCTTCCTCCCTTTCTCCTTTCAGGGTCCAGCCACAGCAGACCCAGCATCCCTGTGGAGGAGAGCCCTGGGCGGAACCCAGGAGTCTAGCTGCTTGCCAGGCAGTCCCAAGCTGGGGAGCAGGCAAGCACGTGAGAGGTGGCGTGAGCCGAGAAGTCCCCACTGTCTGCAGGCCACGTTGTAGATGGCCCTTACTGGTGCCAAGCCTTGGGGCCTCCTCAGCCAGACAACAGTGCCAGGAGCCTTCACTAGGCCCTGGGCCCTCCTAAGAAGAAGGGGGGCGGCCAGCTGGAGCCCAGCTTTCCAGGGCCAAGCTTCTCTCTCCTTCCCCCCATATTGGGACAGTGCAGTGTATTTATACCTCTTGAGGCCCAGCCACGACATGAATGCACAGGGGCTGCCTCTCTGCGGCCATGACTTGCTTGTTCATTTGCCAATTCTTGCTGCTGGCAGCACATTCACATTGTGAACACCAGTTTTGAGCAGGGACGGTCAGACCTGTGGCCTTGTCAGGGCTGTGTTCTCTGGCTGCCCCTTAACAGTGCCATATTCAGTTCATGCTCCCTGGCCTAACTCATGTGCCAGTGCCAGCAGCACTGCTTCCACAGGTCTGTCCGTCTGGTCCTGCTCCCTCCTGTGGAGGTTCTGACCTCCCAACCCCAGGCAAAGCTCTGCTTCCCTGCTTGCTGCACTCTGTGGCCACCAAGAGTGTTGTCAGTTTTAAGGGAAGAAGGCCCCCCATGAAACCCTCCAGCTCCTGACCCTGGTAGAGGGGACCCCTGGTGTACCTTTCTCAGGCCTCTATGGAGCAGGCTGTTGCTGTGGGGCACAGGGACATTGGCGGGCAAGGATTGCCCAGGAATCGGGGTGATCCTTATTCTTAAACAGAAAGCAGTTGTATGTGGTCCTTGTGTCTCTGAACCATCAGTACTGTGTATTGTGTTCTGGCCGGGCAGTTGTAGAGAGGAGGATGGGAAAGGGTTTGTGTTTCTTGTAATTTCTTCCCAAAGTTCAGCTGTATGGAAGCTGGGGCTTCCCAAGGCCAGGAGTGTGGCCCGGAGAGGGAGGAAGGTTTTTAGAAACATTTCTCAAAGGAACCTAGGTCCTACTATATGGGCCAAAGGCCAAAAGCACAGGGCTGTGCCGGATGAGATTGCTATAAGGCATGCACACCACGGGGGACATCCCAGGTAGGAAACGGGCTTGCCCACATCCCGTGTGTCCAGAATGGGGGCTTGTAATATTGCTCTGTGTGGGAGTCACCTGGTGAATTAAAAAGTGCTACTATCCAGGCCTACCATTAGGACTTTGATTGAATCACTGTGGGTTTTATTTTTGAGATGTTGGCATCTTATGTAACTTTGGTACCTTTATTGAAACTAAAAACTTAACATTGGTGCAATACTGTTAAGCAAACTTCTTCAGATTTCATTGGGAGTTTACCGTTTGTTCCAGTAATGTCCTTTGTGTGTTCCAGGGTTTAAGCCAGGAGCAGGGTGCACCGAGGGCTGTTGTTTTCCATGCCACCCCCACCCCTTTCCCCTTGAGCTAGATCATTAGGTGTTATAGAAGTCTCCTGTGCTCTTGTTCCAGCTGTCCTGTGGTGACACTTCATGTAACCCAGTCCCAAGACCGAGAGCCGACACTGGTGTGCTGTGGGTGTACGGTTCATCATCTTGTCCTGTGTTGCAGATCCGTGTAACTGCTACCCCAGGCAAGATACTGAACCATCCCCGTACCGCCAGGACCTCCCTCAGACGCCTCCAAACATCCTTCACCCCTGGGAACCACTAGCCTGTTCTTCAGCTTTATAATTTTGTCATTTCATGTCCTGTGTACCCATCTGGGTTTGGCTTTCCTTCATTCAGCGTGACCCTCTGGAGACTGGCCTAGGGGTGTGTGTGTGTGTGTGTGTATCGGCGTTAGTCCAGGGTGTAGTTGTCTCCTGGAAGCACATCTGGGTTGTGCGTTTTAGGCCAGTCCGGATGAAGCTGCTGTGAACACTGGACAGGTTTTTCTGGTTTCTTTTTGGGGCTGGGAGGTACAGTTGCTTGGTTGTATGTTCTTTTTAAGAGAAAGCCAGATGTTTTCAGAATGGTATGTAATTTACCTTCTTACTGGTGACTCAGGTAGTTTTCTAGTATTGCTACCTTTTTCAGTTTGGCTGTCTGAATAGGTATGTGCTAACCATAGCTTTCATTTCTACTTCCTTTATAGCTAGTTCCCATATGGAGCTCCAGTGGCGCAGTCGGTTAGTGCGCGGCACTTATCCAGCCAGTTCCCATATATCTTTCTACTTGGTGTCACTTTGAATGTCTGTCTTTTGTCAATTTTCTAATTTGGTTTTTGTCTTACCATTTTGAGAGCTTGTTATGTATCCTAAACCATTTTAACCCATTGTCAGATTTTTGCTTGGCAAATGTTTTCTTCCCATGTGTACTTTGAACCTCTGAACAGGTGCCTCTGTGGATCACAGGTTTTAAAATTTTGATAAATTTCTCATCACCAGCTTTTCTTTCACTGATCATCTTTCTGTTAGCGTCGCATCTGAAAACTCTACCGTCTTGGGTCCTAAAGATTGTGGGGGTTTTTTTCCCCCTGAAAGTTTTATGTGTTAACAGTTAAGTTTGTGGTCCATTTTGAGTTAACTCTGCCCATTTTTTGTTTCGTTTTGTTTCTTTTCCTCACAGCCTATAGGTGTCTAACTGCTTTGGCACCATTTGTTGAAAAGCCAGTCTTTTCTCACATTGGTCAAGGTCAGCTGGGCTTATCTGGGTGGACCTTTTTGAGTTGTCTGCTGATCCTTTGGTCTAAGTCTTGAAACTAATACCTCTTTCTACTTTCTTTTTCAGAGTTGTTATAGATACATTTTAAAAAATGAATTTAAATATAACGTCCACAATCACAGAACTCTCACTGGTATTCTGATGAGAACTGCTAAAACCTATATCAGGTTGGGCAAGGGGAAACAGGACTGTCCATGAACGTGGTATACCTCTCCATTTCTTGAAATTTTGGGATTTTATAGATTTTAGCCTACAGTTCCTTTTGTTTTAAGCCTAGTTGTTTCCTTCTTGAGGTAACTATAAATGGTACTGTCTTTGTGTGTCCCTGTGCTCCTTGTTGGTCGCTAGAAAGAGCCTTTTTGTGTCCTGAGATCTTACCCTTATCCTAGTTGGGTGTATAGATTTTTGTGTAGATCCTTTACAATTTCTTATGTACACAAACAAAGCTATACTCATCTTGAGGATTTCTGACTTAGTCTGGACATGAGACCCTGGTGATTGTTGAGTAGCTGAGGCTGAGGACCAGCTCTCTGTGCATTTGTCTACCAGTGCCCAGAGGCACCCTGAGCATAGGAGCCCAGTGCTGGGACCCTCCTGCCACCTCACACCTGGTGGCTTCTCTTGTCGGACCAGCATGGTTAAGGTTTGATTTCTGGTGCTGAGGACAGTAAGGCTCCTTCCAGCCTAGAGAAGACAGGTAGACTATACTGGATAGTTAATAGATTTAATGAACTGAAGGCACTGATGTGTATAAAAAGGTATGTATTGTGTCTGTAAATATCCTCACTTCCTAGATGAGGACTTTTCTTGTCTATGGTCTTGAGTGTCCGTTTCGGTCATAGCACCAGTGTCTGTACACTGGCTCTGTCGGCATGGGCACAAACTGCCCAAGGGGAGGATTGTGGCTCTTGCTGCAGGGCACTGCTGAGCTGTTCCACACAGCAACAGCACAGCCTTGTTCTTGGGCTGGGAAGGCCACCAGCATCACACTAAAGGAACTGCTGCAGAAGGGACATCAACCCAGCTGCTTCACGTAAGCCAGGACCAGGTGAGGGTGGTTAAGCCTTCATCTGCTAGCCGTTCCCTCAGCCTGTGGTCTCAGATGAGAACAGAGCTTTGTAGGATTCACTTCCTGGCACTAAAGGACCCAGCCTTGCCAGTTAGTAGTCTGCACCCATGAGATTTGACATAAAAAGGACAGTGGAAGATGAAGATGACAGACCCTGTGGGAGATGAGGTCCTCATGACACCACAGTCAGCAGGTGGGACCAGAGGTCTGTGGCCTGACCTCCAGGGTGGGATGGGGATGGCTTGCAATAGCAAGCTGCAGGCTGGCACTCAAGCTCCAGTACAGGGGTGGGGTGGGTGAAAAGACTGAAGGAAACCAGGGTTACGGGCCACCGCCCCACAAGTTGAGTGGGCCACAAGCAATCCCCAGCACCAAGGCCCTTCATCTCCACCCCAACGGTGCAGGAGGCAGCTGGACTGAGGCTTGTAGTCAGTGGGTGAAGCTTTCCCCAGAATCTCAGCTTTGGCTCCTCAGTCTAGGACTCCTGAGGCAGCCTGGTGGGTCCTGGCCTTCTAGGGGGCAAACTCGTTGAGAAGACCCTGCAGAAAACCACAACCCAACTCCAGAGGCCCCAAGACTGAGTTCCAGAGCCACTCCAGACCTGACCAGGGCTGCTGCTGCCAGGCTGGAGCTGCCTGGAGAAAGCATGTCCACTGATGCTGGCCAGCTTACACTGCTTGACACCTAGGAAGCCTGCGTGAGTCATCCATTACTTCCTGGAAAGCAGCTATTACCACTGGCCAATGGGCTGCGGCAAACCTGGCCTGCATGTTGGCGGACACTGAGGATGCCAAGCACCCAACCAGAGCCGCTCCCACTGCACTCCCCTTGCCCTCTTATGGCCCCATTTTGCCACCTTCCAGTCCTCTGCCACAGCCTGTCTCAGCTCCAGCATCCAAAGCCAGGGAGGTCTGTCCTCTACCTGCAGGGCTCAGAGCTGTTCCTCAGCCCTAGTGGGGCTACCTGAGGAAGCACAGCCTCACCAGGGGACTTGGGACAGGGGCAGGAACTAAAAAGTGGGATGTGGGAGGGATGGAATGGTGTTGAGCGACCCTACAGGTCTGTCATAGTGGTCAGCACCGGGTGCGGGTGTGCCCCACATGGGCCTGTAGTGCTTCCCGAATGCTCCGCTGCCAATCTCGTGCCAGCTGCACTGGAGTCAGGAAAGCCTGGGGACAAAGATGTGGGGTCAGCCCTTTCCTCTCAGGAGCTCCACTAGCCACCTGGCTCACAGTGTGCTGCAGGCTGTACTCACTGCGTTCTGCATGCTCAGCTTGGCTCCGTAGAGCAACAGTAGCTTCATAGCTTTGTAGTGGCCATGCCGCACAGCCTCGTGGAGTGCTGTGTCCCCTTCCTGCAGGAGGGAGAAATCACGCTGACTAGACAGCACCTCTGGTCTGGTGCACTCTTCTCTGTTACCATGCCCTGGGGGGGAAGCTGCCCCCACCTGGACAGAGTGCCTACCTTGTCCTGTGCGTCAAGCCGGGCTCCACACTCTATGAGGTGCTCCAGGCAATCTGAATGCCCTGTGCGCACGGCCACATGGAGGGGGGTGCTCCAGATCTGTGAGGGCCAGTGAGGTCAGCAGGGACTTCCTCCCAAAAGGGTTAGGTTTTTATTTCACCAGTAGCACCTGCTTCTCCCAACAGGCTACCGAGAGTCAATGCCGCCCCCTTACCTTGTCCCGGGCATTGACCTGAGCCCCCTGGTTAAGCAGCTCTTTGAGGATGTCCAGGTGTCCTCCACGGCAGGCCCAGAACACAGGGGTCCTGTCCAGCTGCAAAACAAAGAAGCCACTAAGTACGCTGACCTACAGGCAGGTGAGGCAGGGCATCTGCCACAGGGAGGGGCCTTCCCGGCTCTCACCAAGTCCCGTGCATCCACAGCAGCTCCTGCCGCCAGCAGCTTACTCACCAGCTGCCTGTGACCCTTCAGACAGGCCCAGTGCAAGGCCGTGCGGTGGAGCTGGGAGCAGAGGTGGGAGATAATGCAGAGGAACAGCATTCCTGCAACTGCAGGTGCCACAAGCCTACCGACTCCCACCACTACCTTGTCATGGGCGTTGGGGTTCCCTCCATCCGTCAGGTATTTGTCAATCAGGGCCTCCTGGTTCTCGGCAGCTGCCTTCAGGAACCTGTCCAGATCCACCGGCTCCAGTGGGGTCTCGGTTGGTGGTGGCTGCTGTACCAGTTGAAGGACAAAGCCAAGTCACACTCCAGCTGTGGGCACCTGGGGCTCTGTGGTCCTCAAGCAGTGGACAGAGGACCAGCCCACTGCTGGCTGGTGCAAGCTCAATTTTCAGTCCTGCCCAGGACACTGGCACATGGTATCCTCAGCATTTGAGGTCCCTTCACTACACTCCATCAGGGTGTCCTTGTCATCATAGTGAGCACTGAGCCAGCCTCAGATAAATGGCTCCTTAGGCCCAGGGACGGTGGCACGCAGACATGAGTGTGACGCTAGCCAAGGGTCACCAGCAACCACAGCAGAGGGGGCACAAATGGATCTGGAGAGCCCACAAAAGGACACTGCCTTGGGAGTGCTGTGCCCAAGCAGCCTCTGAGGGTACAACACAGGGTGCTTCCCCTTGCTCCCCAGGTCCCAGCCCCACATAAAGCAGGCTCTGGGTGTGGCTCCCCGACCCCACCCCTGTATGCTCCCTGCCTCTGCTCACCTTAACCTGGGCCTCAGGTTCTCTGGGGGGGACTCTCTGCTTCAGTTTCAGTCGCTTTTCTCTCCGTCTTTGAACCAAGTTCTCCAAATCCGCCAGAGTCTCCAGATTGAGCCTGGAGCTGTTAAATCTTTCCAGCTAGGGCAGGAGGTGCACAGGAAAGAGTATGCCAGATGTGAGCAACGGGGTGGGACAGAGCAGGCCCTTGGTTACTCTGAGCCTCACCTGTGGTCTCCCCCTTTCACCCCCTTACCCCACAGATGCGCTACACACTGTGGCTCAGGCTGCCTGGGCCCGAGCCCAGGGCCGTCACTCCCACCCAGCTCCAAGCTCACTTTTTTCTTCTTCTCCTCTTCCGATTTCAGCTTCTCCCGGGCCACAGCCTCATGGGGTCCCAGTCTCCAGTCATTAGGCCCACCTCCAGGGTCAGGAGCTCCGTGACCAAAGCCCAATGCTTTCCTTCCAATTCCTTCTCCACTTACCTGTAGGAGGGACAGGGAATGAAGAAGCAGGGAAGTGAGAGACTCCTCCCACCCTGCCTTAGGAAACAAGGTTGAAAGGTGCTTGGAGGAGTGGGGCTGCTGATGGCTGCAATGTGAGGGTGTTGGGTTTCGGATGCTGCTGGCTGGCCAGCGCCTCCTGGTTGGCTCCCACTGCAGGGGTATGACTGACTGCTGGCTGTCCTGCTCCTGTCAGCAGGCTCTCTGGGAAGGCTGAGACCACATCTATTTATACCACTGGCCAGCACACAGGTTGCTTTAAGCCAGGTGACAGCTTAGCTCACCACCCCCGCCCCCCACCCTGCCCCAGGCTGCTGCCCTTAGATTCTGACCAGATCATATGCCATGCTACCTCCTGGGACAAGCTCACAGCCACAGAGATGCCCACCGCTGGGGAAAGGCCAGCTCTGGGGTGGTGGGAAAATACAGGGGAGTGGGATCCAACTTGCATTTACCCTGCAGAGGTTGCGGGGACTGTGTTACTGGTCTCATGCTTTGGGGAGAGCCAGTCTCCACAGATGCCCTTCGCCTGCCGCTGGGACTGAGCCGGTTGTGGGAGGGACCAGGCTGGGAAGACAGGTCAGTGGTGCTGGTGCTCTCAGCCATGCAGAACCATCTTCCCTTTGAAAGTAACACCAACATCCCCCCGCTGCCCAGACCCCAGGCTCTCTATGAACTTCCAGCACAGGCTGGTGTGATTGGCTCCCTAGGGGGCTTGTGGACATCGTGAACTCTGTGCTACCAAAACCAGGCCCGGTGCTGGGAAAGTGAGTGCCACAGCCAGCCCCAACTCTGCACGGAGCCTGAACACTCCCATTTCCCCATCACAGTCCAGGGCAGGACTCACATGGCCATCACACCCCACATCTTTGCTGTTCCTGTCTCCTGCCCCTCGGCAGCGCACAGGAGAACCAGGCACAGGCTACAAAGGAGTGCCTGCCTGGCTCCTAGGCCTTGACTCCACAGACCCCAGACAGTGGCTGCCTTCCCCCAACTGCCGAGGGGGCTGGGAACCTGCCCACGCCCCAGGTCCTTACCAACTGCTGAATGCTGATGAAGTCCATGGTCCCCCCGTTCAACGCGCCCCCGCCACAGTCTGGCGGGCTGTTCCCCTCTTTATAGTAGAGCTCCCTCGCAGGGGAGAGTCAGGGCAAGGGAGGGCAGATGACTCTCAGGTTCTGTCACACCAACCAAAATACCAGCCTGGGAAGGCAGCCCGCTGAGCCGCCTCACATGGCCCCTCCCCCTACTGAGCCAGCGCAACACAAGCCAATATTCAAGGGGATGTTGGTTCCCACTGCCTTGAGGTCAGCGGTCAACAGGCCAGCTTGAGCCTCCGCACTGTTGGGGACCTGGCTGCTCAGGAAATTTCAAAGACCCGGCCCAGTCACTTTGGTACAAACCAGCCTGGGGCCTGTGGAAGTCGCCCAGGTTGCCCTCTTGCCTCCTGAATCCCTGTAGCATCCATACCACCAGCTCTATGCAGTTGCCCGATGCCCAGTTTCCAGGCTGCTCCTCACCTTCTATTGCCCTCCATGCTGACAGGCTGTGACTTCCAGGGTGGTACCACCTGGAGTGGGGCCTGGCCTGCCAATGGCCCTCAGCCCCTGAAGGTGTCTTCCATGGCTACCCCTCCCACAGCCACAGTGCTCCCCACCAAACATGGAGCACGCCCCTTACAGGGAAGCGGGGCTGCAATCTGGCCCAGGTCCCAGGAGGTAAGAATAACGGGACACTCTCACAGCAGCCTGCCTCGGGCCACCAACAGCCAAATTCCTAAACCTGTTTCCAAAGCCATGCAGCCACGTGCACCCAGCGCCCAGCAGGGCCTCAGGCGCCGTCCTGACCTTTGAGAGGTAACCAGATAGTCAGTAAATAAGACTCCAGAACCCCAGCAACAGGCACAGCCAGCCGCTGCCAGGGGGACAGGGGTGGGGACAGAGGCCCTGGCCAGCAGCCAGTGCGCCCTCAGATATCGCCTGCCCCCAGCATGGCTTCCACGTAAGACCCAGAGCAAAGAAATTTAAGTTCTCAGGCTTCTGCCCCACCCCCCCACAACCTCCAGAAAAATGTTTTGTTCCAAGGAAATGAATTTCCTAGACTAGACTGAGGGCTCTCAGTCAAGAACGAGTCAGACTTCAGTTTGGGACTCTACCATCCAGCCCTAATGCCGGGGCGCCTCTGCCTCAGCCTTGGAGTCAAGGGCATCTGAATCAGCAGGTTCCACTGGAGATGCCAGCAGGAAACCAGCCAGGTCACCTGGAGCTGAATGCTGTGCGGTTAGGGTTAGGAAAAGTATCCTTAAAAACAACAGCAAAAAAAAAAAAAAAAAAAAGATGTAAGTATGAAGTTAAAAGTTCTCCTGGACTTGCCCATCCTTGCCAAGCCAAGAACAGCGGCCTAGGGAGAACCATGGATACCACTGGTGCCACCTGAGGACAGGGTCCCTGGCTGGGGCGCGGGGGCATCCATGCCTTTACCATGTTGGCACTGAGCCCCAGTATCTCAGGCTCCCCCATGAGACCCGGGGCTGCTACACACACAGGACAGCAGTGTTCCAGGTGGCTCCAGAAGACACTCCAGCCTCAGCTGGCTCAGACATGGCCATCCATGGTGACTGGCCCAGTTCCCACTGGAGGAAAAACACTTCAAAGTCACGCATATAAACGTATGAGTCAAGAAAAAGGAACACATTCTTTATGTTGGCAGACAGGCAGCTTGCAGCAGCATCTGCTCTCATGAACTCTCCCTCACTGGCAGGGCAAGCCCCTGCGCCCCTCACGAGGCAAGGCAAGCCCTAGACATGTTGGGAAGCTGCCGCTGGTCCCTGCCTGGGTGCCCGCGGTGGCACCTGGAATCCCTCACCTCACAGACAAGCCGCTCAGTGACAGACAGGCAGAGCACTGGGGGCAGCAGGCAGCTCTCGTCCTGCATGCCACACTTTCTCTGAATACACAGCTGTGTTCTTGTATTTGGGCTTCCACCTTGGATACGGAAGGAGGTCGGCATATCTATCACTTTATTCTTTTTCCCAAAAGGGAACACATTCGGAGCATAATCATCAGACCAGGCTTAACCACTTCCTGCACCCTGCAAACCTCTCCTTATGGAATCCCTCACTTCTGCTGGGGCACAATGGGGCTCTTCTGGCCTCAGTTCCCCTCCCTGAGGCTTGGGGGCATCTAGGGCAAGGGCAGGGTCAAAGACAGTGAGTCAGTGAAACCTTCCAGGGCAGCCTGACCCGTAGGGTGGCAGCTCAGCTGGCCAGCAGGTCCCGCAGGTCGCTGTTGCGAGGCAGCAGGTCACACGCCAGCCGTGCTTTCCGGTCCCGGACAGCCTTCAGGGCTGGGCTGTGCTGCAGCAGCATGGAGCAGATGTCTACGTGGCCATTCTCTGCGGCCTGTGGAAACAGAGACCCGGGTCAACAGGCCTGACCCTGCACAGTGTACGGTGGTTTGAGTAGGGTTCCTCCAACTTCTGTGGGATGCAAGGGACCAGTGGGCAGATGGTGGAGGACTGGGCACTGAGCCTGAGGCTTTCCTTTCCTGTGCCTTTGTCCCATGGACAGTGTTGCCTTTGGTTGGAGCTGTTATCACCAGCTCAGATACCAACAGGTCATCCCCAGGGTGCCGGGGGACACACATGGCCCCTGCCCTGAGCACCCTCCAGATGAACAGGGAAGGAGGAGCCTGGGTTCCTTGCCTTGCTTATCTCCTTTGAGACACAGGATCCCCATGTGGTGTCAATTTCTTTTTCTTAAAATGATTAAGGGGCCCAGCGTGATGGCCTAATGGCTGAAGTCCTCCCTCACCTTGAATGCACCAGGATCCCATATGGGCGCCAGTTCTAATCCCGGTGGCCCAACTTCCCATCCAGCTCCATACTGTGGCCTGGGAAAGCAGTCAAGGACGGCCCAAGGACTTGGGACCCTGCACCTGTGTGGGAGTCCTAGAAGAAGCTCCTGGCTTTGGATCGGCTCAGCTCTCGCCATTGCGGCCATTTGGGGAGTGAATCAACCAATGAAGATCTTCCTCTTTGCCTCTCCTTCTCTCTGTAAATCTGACTTTCCAATAAAAAAAATGTATTTATTTATTTGAAAGGTAGAGTTTAGAGGAGATACACAGATCTTCCACTGGTTGGATTACATCCCACATAGCTACAACAGCCGAGCTCTGGGCCAGGCCACAGCCAGAAGCCAAGAACTCCATCCAGGCCTTGCTTGTGGGTGTGAGGGCATCTGCCATTGCTTACCCGTGCCATCAGCAGGGAGCTGGGACATGAACCAGAGCGCACATCAGATGCCAGCACCAGCTCCTAGGCATCAACATCTGAACTCCTGTAGACACCTCAGACCTCAGCAACCATGTAGTCTGCCTTTCCCAGTGACTGAGCTGGGATCGACCTGCTGACAACGGCGCTCTGCTCCTCCAGCAAACTGACGGGCTCGTGGGGCTTGGAGAAGCCCAAAAGCCATGCTGGAGGCCACCACCACCCCCTGCGGAAGCCCAGATCTTTATGGAGCAGGTCCTCGCAGTGGGCACAGACCCCAGGCTTCAACAGCATCGCCAAATTGAAGCAGCACCATGTTTCGAGCAGCTGTGAGACGCATGCCAACCCTCTCACAAAACACAACATCCAGGGGCCACCATGGGCAGCAGGTGAAGCCACTGCTCATGACACTGCGTTGATACGGGAGCACTGGCCTGAACCACGGCTGCTCTACTTCCCATCCAGTTCCCTGCTGATACGCCTGGCAAGTCAGGAAATACTATGCAAGTGCAATGGAACCATGCCACCCATAAGAGAGACTCAAACGGAGCTCCAGGCTTTGGACTGGCCTAGCCATGGGCACTGTGGCCATCTGGGGGATAAACCAGCAGGTGGAACATCTCCTTCCTCTCTGACATCTGCCTTGTAAATAAGCAGGACAGGGCCTGGTGCTAAAGTCCTCACCTTGCATGTGCTAGGGTCCCACATGGGTGCCGGTTTGTGTCCTGGCTGCTCTACTTTCCTTCCAGCTTGGGGAGTGAACCAGTGGACAAATCTTGTCTCCCCTTCTCTCTATAAATCTGACTTTCCAGTAAAAATAAATAAATCCTTTTTATTATGATTATTATTATTGCAGTCAGACATACAGAAAGGAAGATCTTCCAACCAATGATTCACTCCCCAAGCGGTTGCAATAGTTGGAGCTGAGCCAATCCAAAGCCAGGAGCCAGGAGCCTCTTCCTGGTCTCCCATGTGGGTACAGGTTTCCAAGGGTTTGGGCCAACCTTGACTGCTTTCCCAGGCCACAGGCAGGAAGTTACAAGGGAAGCGGGGCTTCTGGGACATGAACCAGCATCCATATGGGATCCAGTGCATACAAGGCAAGGATTTTAGCCATTAGGCTACTGTGCTGGGCCCAAAATAAATTTTAAAAAAAAGTTACAAGTAGCTTATTTTTAAAAGAAGTCAACATGGAAGAGTAACTTCCAAAATGAGAGTAGGGGATGCAGACATATCCAAAACGCTGCACACAGCAGGTACCACCAGCCCTGCCTGTAAACAGTCATCACATGAACTGCGACATGAGACGGCTGGCACTGACACCAGTCCAGACCACGAGGGCCTAAGCAGGCTGGCCAGCAAATGGCAAGGACCAAGGCAAATCCGACACTCAGCTGTCTGCTCAGCACATACTCACGGAGCACCTGTGCTGAGTGCCAAGGCTGCTAAAGGCAAGGATGAGGCCCAGCTGTCTCCTCTGAGACAGGCCTCCAGCAGGCAGGCCGGCCGGCAACCTGCAGTCTAGGCAGCAAATGGCTGCCAGCTGGGGACAACTGGGGATCAATGAGAGGGAGAGTGAGTGAGTGTGAACTGCAACCCACAGGGAAGGGTAAAGCCACATGAAGAAAGGGAGGAAGGGAAGGGCATACAGACAAGAGGAATGGCTTCTGATGTGTGGCCCTTGGTGACAGAGAGTAGTTGAAGAAAATAAGAAAGGGTAGCAGCAGGTGCTTGGTGGACGGGCCATGTGGATAAGAATCCAGTATAAAACTGGCGAGGGGGCCCGGTGGCGTGGCCTAGCGGCTAAAGTCCTCGCCTTGAACGTGCCGGATCCCATATGGGCGCCGGTTCTAATCCCGGAAGCTCCATTTCCCATCCACCTCCCTGCCTGTGGCCCGGGAAAGCAGTCAAGGATGGCCCAAGGCCTTGGGACCCTGTACCCACGTGGGAGACCTGGAAGAAGTTCCTGGATCCTGGCTTTGGATCGGCATAGCATCGGCCATTGCACTCACTTGGGGAGTCCTCGACTGCCTTCCCAGGCCACAGGCAGGGAGCTGGATGGGAAGTGGGGCTGCCGGGTCTAGAACTGGCACCCATATGGGACCCTGGGGCGTGCAAGGCGAGGAACCTTAACCACTGCGCCATCGCGCCAGGCCAGAGCAAATTCTTACATGTGCTACTTCAGTCACCAAATGCCTACAACAGCCAAGGCTGGGCCAGTGGCTGGCCCTAACCAGGAGCCAAAGACATCATCTGGGTCTCCCGTGTGGGGGGCAGTGGCCCAAGTACTTCCCATCACTGGCACCCAGGATGTAAGGACAGCAGGAATCTGGACTGGATATGGGAAACTGGAACCCACACACTCAAAGAATCAGGTAACCCAAGTAGCGGCTTAACCCACAATGCCACAATATCTGACCAGAACCACTTTTTAAAATCACCACTCCCTGGAGTTGACACTGTAGTGCAGGGGGTTAACAACCCTCACGTAGCACTGGCATCCCATACGGGCTCCACTTCCCACCCAGCTCACTGCTAATGTGTCTAGAAGAGCAGTAGAAGATGTTCTAATTGCTTGGGTCCCCACGCCCACGTGCAAGACCCAGATGAAGTTCCTGGTCACTAGGCTTTTGGGGCTGACCCAGTCTCAGCCGTTGTGGCCATCTGGGGAGTGAACCAGTAGAAAACTGTTCTTTCTGCCTCGTCCTATCTGTAACTCTGCCTTCCAAATAAACAAATTAAAAAAAAAAATTCAGGCCCAGTGTGGTGGCCTAGTGGCTAAAGTCCTCACCTTAAATGTGCCAGGATCCCACATGGGCACCAGTTCTAATCTCGGCAGTCCTGCTTCCCATTCAGCTCCCTGCTTGTGGCCTGGGAAAGCAGCTGAGGATGGGCCAAACCCTTAGGATCCTGCACCTGTGTGGGAGACCTGCAGGAAGTTCCTGGCTCCTGGCTTCAGATCGGTGCAGCACCAGCCATTGCGGTCTCTTGGGGAGTGAATCATTGGACAGAAGATCTTCCTCTGTCTCTCCTCCTCTGTGTAGATCTGACTTTGCAATAAAAATAAATAAATCTTTAAAAAAAATCATTCAAGGTGGTGGCAAGGGAGGATAGTTACGTACAAATGCCATAAATGTGCACATACCACTTCTCAGAGATGGTTTTCTTTGGTTTTTGGCAAGGTGGCTGCCTCACATGAGTTAGCCTAAAAACCTGAGGCAAGGGCTGGTACTGTGGTAGTAGATTAAGCCACTGCCTGTGGGGCCAGCACCTCAAACCTGCACTGGTTCAAGTCCAAGCTGATCCACTTCTGCTCCAGGTTCCTGGGCCCCTGAACACACAAGTGAGGCCTGGAAGAAGCCCCTGGCTCCTGGCTCCTGTGGCCATTTGGGGAGTGAACCAGCAGATGGAAGATCCCTTTCTCTGTCTCTCCTGTATCCCTGTAACTCTGCCTTTAAATGAAACAAAATAAATCTTAAAAATAAAAAAAGCCTAAGTAAGGCACTTGGGGCTGTGGTTAGGTCACTGCTTGGGACAGCCGCAACCCTTAGGAGGTGCCAGGCCCAAACCCTGGCTGTTCCACTTCTGGTTCAGTTTCTGCTGAGGCACACCCTGGAAGGCAGCAGAGATACCTCAGATGCGTGGGCCACGGCCACTGATGTTGCTGTGGGCACTGGGGGTGAACCAGCAGATGGTGGCTCTCCCCATCCCTCCCTGGCTCTGTCTCCCTGATGGAGCTACCAGGGGCCTGGGGTGGACGCGCGCTCATCTTCAACGTCTGCTCCGGTGAATGCCACAGAGTGTGTGCAGCTGTCTCTAAATGACATGACCGCTCTGGCCACAGTGTAGACAGTGTAGACAGTGTAGACAGTGATCCGTAGAACAGTAAGAGTGGGGACACACTTCAGAAAGTGAACTCCATGGAAAAACTCCTACGAAGCACCACTTAAGGGAAAGAAAGCCATAGCACACCATGAATTCTACTGACACGCTTGAGAAAGGGGCTGGGAAACCGCATCTTAAACCCGACGTGACAACAGGTAGGCAGGAGGGGATGGATGATTCTTCTCCCTGTTTTCATATTTTCTACAACGAACCTGTTAGAACTTGGAGATAAGTCCACCTCCGCTTTGCAGAGGGTGAGAGGGACCCACCTTATGAAGACTGGTCATGCCGTCATCGTCTACCAGCCTGGGGTTGGAGCCATAGGACAGCAGCAGCCGTGCGATCTCGGTGTGCCCGCAGTAGCTGGCCCGGTGCAGTGCAGTGGTGCCCCCGTGGGTCTGCGCGTCACACTTGGCCCCACTCTCCAGCAGGAACTGACACACAGCATAGTGTCCGTTGCGACTGGCATAGTGCTGCAGGAGCAGGGAGTGAGGTCAGATGGTGGACTCCAGGCCGCAGGTGGAGTGGGAAGCATGCAGGCCTGCACAGGATGGGGTCGGAGCGGCCTGCAAACATCTCAGGGGCCAGCCCCAGTGGATGTGTGACTCAGGCAAGCTTCTTCAGATCTAGTATCATCTTCCTCAGCTGGGGAAGGGGGGAATCAAGCACTCCTACCTCCTAGGGTTGTCAGGAAAGAGAATCGAATAGCTGATACTCTGAGAGTGCAAGTCCATAGGACAGCTGAACTTGGCCATTGGAAATGGCAGCAGACAGAAGGCAGCTTCCCCAACTTCCAGACACCCTTCCTGGCCCCTCTCTCCCAACAGTCCTCCCCTAGCTCACCAGAGCAGTGTAACCGGCAGAGTCGGGCTGACTTGGGTCCGTGGCTTTCTGGATGAAGTACTTTACTCGGCCCAGGTCTCCGTTCAGGGCTGCTGACCAGATTCCTGCAGGAGGCCAGACAGAGGCATGAGGGGCATGGAACAGCCACCAACGGCCAGCACCTCCTTCACTCACTTCTTGACCGTCCTTTCCTCCCCTAGGAAATGGTCAACATCTGTTCACTCAACAAATAATAACTGTGCCAAGGATTGCTCCAGGCACTGGTGACAGAGCTGAGAGCTACACGAAGGATCTAACTGTGTTAATAAGATTGGGCAGTCAAAGAAATCCCTTCCTCCTACCTCCAGAAGGGAGGCACCCTCCAGAAGGGCCCGGGCAGCCCAGGCACCAAAGATACTGGGCAAAGCCCCTTGGGCTGCCCGAGGGCACAACCTCATGGTTAGAGAATCTTGATTTACAGGGGGTGAACAGATCGCACAGGTGGCAGGGGGAGATGACCCGTAGTTTTTACGCCCAGGTTAGAAATTAAAGCTGAGGGACTTCCATTGATAAGTCAATGACATGTGTACATATGTAGGGGACCTACACCAAAGTGGTTTGGAGGGGAGAACAAGAGTGAGAGAAGTGGGTCCAATAGCAGAATCTGTGGGGGCAATGTGGGCCCATCCCTGTGGAACTGCACTCTCTTGCTGGCTCGCCCAAGAATGGCAGATGGGGTCAGTCCTTGCTGGGGAGCTAAGGGGGCGCCCCAGCTGGGTTGGGTTTCCACTGGTGAGGCCGAGAGTGGGAATGGGGGCAGCAGGCTTGGCTGGACATGGCTACAGCCTGCACTGGCACGGGTGTGCACTGGGACTGTGGTGGGACAGATTGGGCTTGACTCCAGCCCCCACTGGTACTCGTTAGAGACAGGCTGGGTGTAGAACAGGCCAGACAAGGTCTTGTCTCCTGCTCAACTCTGTGAAAGCCATGTCTGCGCGCCGACCAGGTATCGCTGGGCTGCAACACCCAACAAGAACCAGAATGGGTGTGGCCAGCTGAATAAGGTCACTGTTCTCGTGAGACAGGAGGAGTACAAAGTCAACATGGGCCAATGACCCACTGGTGTGCGCGAGAACTGCCACTGGGAGGAGACTCGATGGAGGAGCCTGGGAAACTGCTTCATTGGGAGGCAGTCTCAGCAGGTGAGCACAAGAAGCAAGGCAAGGAGCAGCCCAGACCATGCCAGGTTACAGCACCCACCGGCATACATGTGGGTCAGGTCTGGGGACACACCAGTCTGGGCCAGCACATAACACCCACTGGCAGATCTGAGAACCAGGGCAGGGGGCAGGAGGAGCCAGATTGGGCCGCAACACCAGCCAGTTCATATTAAGACAGGGACAGCAATCAGGCTGGCTGGGATAGGCTGCAGCAGAAGCTGGAACAGGGGGTAGACTAGATTAGGCCAGGCTGCACAATAAGATGGTGGACGTTGAGGTGAGGTGAGTCACGCCAACCTGGGCTCAGTGGGGGCTAGGTATGTGAGTGCCAGGGACTGGGATCTGACAGGGCTTGGGTGGCTTAGCTCAGGTCCTAGGTGTCTGTGCTTTGGGGGCTGGGTTCCTGAGCCCTGGGGATAGTTGAAACTAGTGGGATGTGGGTCGATTGGCGCAGATCCTAGGACCGGCATTCCAGGTGGGTGTTGGTTTTGTGAGCCCCAGGGGTGAGGGATCTGGCAGGGTTTGGGTCTCTTGGCCTGGTCCCAGGGCCCGCCTACTAGGTAGATGCTGAGTTCATGAGCCCAGAGGTGGGGGATTTGGCGGGGTGGGGTCTCCTGACCTGGGTTCCAGGGACATCTACTAGGTTGGTGGTGGGGCTTGGATCTCCTGTCCCAGGCCCTGGGGCCACCTACTAGGTGGATATCGGGTTCGTGAGCCCTAGGGGTGGGGGATCTGGCGATGCTTGGGACACCTAGCCCAGGTACTAGGATTCATCTGCAAGAATATGCCCTACTTAGTCAAAAAGGCAGAGCAGTGGACATAGGCCCTGTTGTGAAAGGAGAATATGGCAGCTCATTTGGTGCTGTAGTAAAAGAAGGAGAACAGAACCAGCTGGACAACTACCACAAGCAAACGATAACAGCAAAAAATCTCAGTGAGCGGAGCTAATGGACACTGGGAGGGTGACACCATCCTCGGACTGGTGAAATCGGCAGCATTTCAGAACTATCCACACCACTTGGACAGAACCCTCGGAACATGCACACATTGAGACTCCGGGCTAATATAAGGTGGCGGCTCCTCATCCCTGGGTACTGGGACCTGTGGAAACTCGTGGGTGGTTCCCCCTTTGTCTCTCCCCTTTCCCCAGGAACAACAAGAAGAAACAGCAAATTTGGAAGCAATGAGTTCACCCAATTTTATCTAAACTTTGATCCTTCCCATCCTGATCAACCATGTAATCATTATTATAAAAACAAACTGCAATAAACAAACAAATAAAACCTATACTCACAAATATATTTTCACCTTACGACAATCTGCTATGACAAATACACATACAAATATTGAGCTATTCAGGCCCAGTGTGGTGGCCTAGTGGCTAAAGTCCTCACCTGGGAATGCACCAGGATCCCATACGGGCACCGGTTCTAATCCCAGCAGCCCTGCTTCCCATCCAGCTCCCTGCTTGTGGCCTAGGAAAGCAGTTGAGGATGGCCCAAAGCTTTGGGACCCTGCACCTGCATTGGAGACCTGCAGGAAGTTCCTGGCTCCTGGCTTCAGATTGGCGCAGCACCGGCCGTTGTGCTCACTTGGGGAGTGAATTATTGGACGGAAGATCTTTCTATCTCTCCTCCTCTCTGTATATCTGACTTTGCAATAAAAATAAATAAAAAAAAAATATTTAGCTACTCAAACTTCTAGTTAAAAAACTATGCATGGATCTCAATTTTTTTTGCACCCAGATAAAATTCAATTCTAATTAAAAAAAAAATCTATAACATTACAGATTGAAAAAAAATTACTGAATAGAGATTCAGCATCAGAGTGAACCAGCAAATGGAACAGTCTTTCTAAAGATTTATTTTTATTATTTTTTCATTGGAAAGGCGGATATACAGAGAGGAGAGACAGAGAGGAAGATCTTCCGTCCCATGATTCACTCCCCAAGTGAGCGCAACTGCCGATACTATGCCGGTCCGAAGCCAGGAGCCTCTTCCGGGTCTCCCATGTGGGTGCAGGGTCCCAAAGCTTTGGGCCGTCCTCGACTGCTCTCCCGGGCCACAGGCAGGGAGCTGGAAGGGAAGCGGGGCTGCTGGGATAGAACCAGCGCCCACATGGGATCCCGGGCGTGCAAGGCGAGGACCTTAACCACTTGCACCACCGCGCCGGGCCCCAGTCTGTCTTTCAAACAGACAAATAAATCTTTAAAATAAAAATACTGCATAAGGGCAGGCGTTTGGCACTATGCTTCAACTGCGGCCTGGGACACTGCATCATAGTGTCTGGGTTCAGGTACTGGCTCCACTGCGGATCCAACTTCCTGCTAACACACACTTAAGGCTGAAAATGATGTCTCAGGTGTGGGTCCCTGCCACCCATGTGGAAAACATGAACTGAACTCTAGTTTCCTAGTTTAAGCCTGGCCCAGCCCTCACTGTTACAGGCACTTAAGTGGTGAACCAGCAGATAGAAGATCTGTCTTTTATATAAAAAATCTGGGGCTGGAGCTGTGGTACAACAAGTTAACCCCCGATGGCAACGCCAGCATCCCATAGGGGTGCTGGTTCAGGTCCTAATTCCTCCACTTCCAATTCAGCTCCCTGTTAACATGCTTGGGAGAACAGCTGATAGCCCAAATACTTGGACCCACCCACCCAGATTAAGAAACCTAGAAGGAGCTCCATGGTCCTGGTTTCAAATCAGCTCAGTTCTGGCCTTTGTGGCCAACTGGGGAGTGTATCAGTAGACAGAAGACTTCTCTCTCTGTCTCTTCTTCTCTCTACACGTTTGTTTTTCAAACAAAAACAAATAAATCTTTAAAAAGAAATCTGATTCCCAACACCAAACAAACTGTATATTATATACACATATTGCTATATGTATATAAACAGTATATGAAGCATACATGAATTTCTGTTTAAACTTGGGGTACCATCAAGATATCTCCTTATGCATAAACAAATATTTCCAAAGGAAAACTCAACCTGTATTTACTATGTGCCTAGCACTGTTTAGGGCACCAGGGATCAGCTAGGAATAAAAAAAAAAAAGCTTTCCACAATTTTCACTTTATGAGACTTAATTACTAATTAAAGGAAACAGACAAGAAACCAATGTATATTTACTTATATATCCCCATTACATTTGACATGTATAATTTTACGCATGCGGGTCTGGTGCTGTGGTGTAGTAGGTTATAAGTCTCAGCCTACAGCATTGGCATCCCATATGGATACCAGTTCATAACTGAGCTTCCAGTCCAGTGCTCTGCTAATACCTGGGAAAGCAGTGGAGGATGAACTCAGATCCACGGGCCCCTGCACCCACATGGCAGACTAGGAAGAAGCTCCTGGCTCCTGCCTTCAGACAGGTTCAGCTCCAGCCACTGCAGCCATGTAGGGAGCAATTAAGTTGATGTAAGATCTCTGTCTCTCCTTCTCTCTGTAACTACCTTTCAAATAAAAACATATACACCTGAAAAAAAACTTTCTACACATGTATTCTGGATATTTTATGACATCAGTGAGGTGGAGGCATGTGCTCGGAAGGAAAGGCAGTGGTCAGAGATGACTCTGTGAAAGGGAACCACCACCTGGTCAGAAGCCTGAAGGAAACGAGAAGAGCTACTGTGCCAATAGGAGTGAGAGGACTGCAAAGGCAGGGAAATCTAAACAAATCCTTTGCCTGACTTGGAACAGGGAACCCACATCAACAAAAACATCAAGTTAAGAATCTGCTATGGGCCTGGTACAGTGGCCTAATAGCTAAAGTCCTCACCCTGAATGCACTGGGATCCCATATGGGCGCTGGTTCTAATCCCAACTGCTCCACTTCCCTTCCAGTTCCCTGCTTGTGTCCTGGGAAAGCAGTCAAGGATGGCCCAAGGCCTTGGGAGACCAGCAGCTCCACTTCCCATCCACCTCTCTGCTTCTGGCCCGGGAAAGCAGTTGAGGACGGCCCAAAGCCTTGGGACCCTGCACCTGAGTGGGATACCGGAAGAAGTTCCTGGATCCTGGCTTTGGATAGGCAAAGCATCGGACGTTGCACTCACTTGGGCGTGAATCATCAGACGGAAGATCTTCCTCTCTGTCTCTCCTCCTCTCTGTATATCTGACTTTCCAATAAATAAATAAATCTTTAAAAACAAACAAAAAAACTAAACTAAAAAGAGCCATACCAGAGGTCACATAGTTAACACACCACACAAGAGCTTGCATGTTACACAGGAATGCCTGAGTTCTAGCCCATCACCATCTCGCTGCCAGCTTCCTGTGGAAGTTTGGAAGTCACTGGGTCACTGTAACTCCAGATTGGGTTGCCAGCTCCTGGCTGCTCTGAGTATCTGTGGGAAGAGAACCAGTGGATGGTAGATCCGTGGGACTCTGGCTCTCTGTCTTTCAAAAGTACTGAAATAAAACAACCAACAGGTTGGACAGTACCACAGACTCAACTGAAGAGAGAATTAGTGATCTGGAATTCTCCTAGAATACAGCACAGAAGGACAGAGAGAAAAATACCACCGACAGATAAAGCAATGTGGAAGAGGAGGATGTATCAACATGCTTAATGAAAGTTCCAGAAGATGAAGAGAAAGGGGACAAACACACACACGGAGGGAGGGACAGAAGGGATAGGCAGACAAAGAGGGAGGGAGGGAGAGAAAAACTGGATGCAATGGGAGGCAGGCAGTGCTAGAAAAGATAACACTAAGGAATAGAAGACAACCATGAGTTCTCTGATGAGGATTAATGAAAACAAACCAAGCAAACTAGGATGCCTGAACACCACCAACAAAGAGAACACTACAAAGTTACCCAAAAGCACCTGCCAAGGCAGGTGCAGTGCCAGAGCCCCATACAGGCACCGGGCCAAGTCCTAGCTGCTTCATTTCCCATCCAGCGCTCTGCTATTGCTCATGGGAGGAAAGCAGTGGAGGATGGCCCAAACCCTTAGCACTGTGCACCCACATGGCAGACAGGGCAGAAGCTCCTGGCTCCTGGTTTTAGATCGGCCCAGCTCTGGCCACTGCAGGCATCTGGGGTGTGAACCAGTGGGCAGAAGCTCTCTTTGCCTCTCTCTCTAACTCTGCCTTTCAAATAAATAAATTCTTACAAAATAAGTTATACAGAGGAAAAGACCATCATATCGGAGATTACATCACTCAACAAGCAACGAGGGAAGCAAAAACACCTGCTCCTATGTGAGCAGATGCTCTCAGCAACATGAGAAGGAAAACCCACAGCCATCCTCACTAAGAAAACCACAGAGAAAACGCACTCCGAAGGGAAACGGGCCTCAATGGAGCAACACAGAAGGATCTCTTCCACAATTTTCTAAGAAACCAACAGTACCACATCAGGCTGTGCAAACTGCTCGGATGAAAGCCAAGGTGACAGATCTACCAGGGCGCCTGGAGGAGGAGGCCCTCCCTGGGACAGGGGAGGGTCCTTCCACAGCAGCACAGCTGACATTTTGTGACCAGATAATTCCTGGTGGTGGGGAACAGTTCTGTGTAATACAGTGTGTCTGCAGCATCTCCCGGCTGGGACACTCACACCGACTTCAGACATAGCCGATTCTAGAACAGGGCTCAAGGAGGGCCGCTCTGGGAAGGCAACAAGTAAGGGTCAGCTGTGAAGGGAAGGCATGAGCCAGATGCTAGCCTAATAGTTATAGAAGTTCATACTTCTTTTTTCCATTTTATTTGAAAGATGGAGAGGCAAGAGAGATCTTCTACTTGCTTTGTTCAGTCTCTTGATGCCAGCAACAGCCAGGGCTGGAGCAAGCTGAAGCCAGGAGCCCCAAAACTTAATCTTGAGTCTTGCACACACATGACAGTGACTCGAGCTCTCCAGCAGTCCCCTGCTGCCTCCCAGGGTGTCAGTCAGCCAGAAGCTGGGATTGGAAGCTGACCTGGGACTCAAAGCTAGGCACCCTGGTTGTGGGACAAAGACGTCGTAACTGCTGTACTGACACTGCCAGCCCTTCCTAAGGAGATGGGAAAAGCAATGAGGGTGGAGAAGCGGAATGGGCAGAGCTTCAGCTACGGAGCCCTTGCAGTGAGTGGTAGGGGGTGCTGAGGAATTTGGACTTATGCTAAAAGCAACAGAAAATGAGCTGATGGGATGTGGTATTTGTCAAAGGTTTTTGTGGCTGCTATGGGAGAAGCAGAAAACACTGCAGGAAGGGTGGGGTGGGAACAAGGGACACCTGTGTTACCCGCAGCCCACTGGGGTGCCGATTCAGTCCTGGCTGCTCCACTTCCAATCCGGTTCCCTGCTAGGGGTCTGGGAAAGCTGCCAAGGCTAGCCGAAGTCCTTGGGTCCCTGCCACACACGAGGAAGACCTGGAAGAAGCTCCTGGCTTCGAAGTGGTCCAGCACTGGCCACCTGTGGCCTTTTGGGGGAAATGAACCAGCAAATGAAGAGTTCTACGTGTGTGTGTGTCCGTCCCTCTCTTTGTGTAGCTTTCAAAATAAACAAATCATAAGGCAGGTCCGTCAGGCAGCGGCTGAAGGCCTGTGCAGGACATGACACAGCACAGTGACTCCAAACACGGAGAAATGGGGGACGCTGGTGGCCAGTCTCCCTCCAAGCCTTACCGGCAAGGCAGCGCAACTTCTGCAGGACATGGGGGTAACAGCGTCCTCTCAAGGCCCCACAGGTGTAGACACCGCCTGCCCGCCTCGAAGGTGACAAGCAAGAAGCTCTGGGCCTGACCGCGTCCAACACACGGGGGTCCCCGCCCCGGGAGGACAGAAGGGGCGATACCCCCAGCCGCCTTCCCCGAGACACCCTGAGCAGGTGTGGTCGTGCCCAGCCCCCACGGCCTGGAGAAGCGGCGTCCCACCTGCTTACAAGGCGAAGGTTTACGAGCCGAGCTCGCACCGGGCCCCGTGCGCTCCCGAGGCCCACCCATCCTCCCCGCTCAGGACCGCAGCCGCTCGCGACGGCGAAGGCCCCGCAGGGCCGGCTCCCAGCGCCTCACCCCTCTCGAAGTCCATCTCCTCCAGCGTCTGCTGCACGCCGGGCACGGCACCGGGGCGAGAACAGCAGGGCCCCCCGTCGACGCACGGACTTGTAGCTGCCATGGCTGCAGTTCGGGGCCTGCACGCCAGCTGTCCGACGCCCACTCGGGATCCGCCGCGGGGACGGAGGGACGTACGGGCGGACGGACGGACGCAGCGCCCCGCCCACAGCCCCGGATCCGGCCACTCAGAGTGCGTCGTAGTCCTCCTAGTCCCACCCACCTCCCCAAATCCGACCAATCAAGCATCCGGTCCTTAGCTCGGGAGCTAATCGTGGTGGCGGGGCGGGACTTGGGCCGGCCGGGCGCCGCCGGACACGGCCACGCGAGGGCGTCCGAGGCCAAGCGCAGGGCTGCGGCCGGCGGCGCAGGGCGATGGAAGCCCGGCTCGCGCGAGCTGGGAGGGCCGGCCGGGCTTGGTCGGGTGGGGAGACGCCGCTGCTAGGGCTGCTAGGCCGGGCCAGAGTTTTTATGTAACCATCACTAGAACGCAGCCAACGCCTTCAGGGGCCTGGTGGGTCCTTAGCCAAAACCGCTTCAGCCATGACCGCCCGGGTTCTCCTGGAGCGAATTCCACAGTTCTTCACTATCGCGGCCACGCCACGCAGTGACCTTTTTTCTTTTCTTTTAAACATTTCATTTATTTACATGAAAGGAGGGGAAGAGGACAGAGACACATCCTCCTTGGCCTGATGCACTGGTCCCAAATGGCCAACAGCCAGGAGTCCGGAAGTCAAATACGGTCTCTTGCGTGGGGCCCGTCCTCGGCTCTCTCTCAAGGTGTGCGTTCTCAGGCAGCTGGAATCCAAGTGCAAGAGGTTCTCAAGCCCAAGCCACTCCCACAGGCGATGCAGGCATCCCAGGCCAGGGTTTCAAGCCCCAGGCCAGATGTCTGCTCCGCCGGCCTTCCACCTCCCCACCCACACACACCCCGCAAAGGCAGGGCCAGGCTATGATCAACTGCCGGGACAGTCAAGGGGACACATGGGGTCCGTGGGCTGTACCCTCACAGGCCTGGCCCCAGAAATGAAGCGGGAATGGATTCTGCTGTTTCTCTAGCATCCTGCCCCTCCCTTCCGAGGGCAGAGGTCTGGGACACACTGGGTGACAGTAGCGGCTCTGTTCCCGGAAAGGATCTTCTCCGGAGCTGGTGGGGAGCTGGAACCTCACACCAGCCGGCCCGCTCACCGCCTACCCAATCCTCAAAGTACTTCTAGGAAGTTCCCTCCTTCAGCCCCTCACTGCCGGGAGTTCTGGGAAGGCAAGCCCCTCCCTCCTCCTCCTCCTCCAGGGTGCCCAGACTTATCCCTTTGGCTAGAAGCCAAGGCTGGCTCCCAAGGGGCTGTGGCCATGGTCTGGTTCCCAGCCCCTGCTGCCAGCACTGTGGGAAAACCCTGGAGGAGCATGGCTGGGCTGTTCTTCCCGCGCAGGGCACAGGCCGGCTGGAACCGCACGAGGGGCACCGCCCAGGGACTGTGCTGGGGGGAGAGGGGCTGCCGGTCCAGCTGAGGGTTTGCCTTCTGTTGCCTTATCCCTGTGACAACGATGGTTTCATTTTCTCCATTTTATTCGTCAAATATAAAAATACTCAGATATTTACAACAAATAAATACGCGGGACACAATAAGTTACACTGTTAGGAGGCCTCCTCCTAGGGGTGTGAGGGCATATGACCGTTTGCACAGCGCGCCCACCTGGCCCCTACACCACCTTTCCCAGACAAGGCCGGGAAGAACGTAGTATAAAATACCACTGAATCCCCGGGGAGCCAAGGGAGGCCCCGCCCACCCCTTCCCCCAAAACACACAGGTGGCGCCATCACCCTCCCTCCCCACCCTGAAAACATTCACAGCCCTAGGGGACGGACCAAGCGGCCCCTGAGCCCTACACTTCCCCAAAGGGGTATAGCACCCTGCCCGCCCACCCCCATATGTACACCACTGCCCCACACTTGGGACAGCTGGGGGTAAGAGAGGCAGCGCCACACGACCCCTTCCCCTTCATAGCTCCAGTGACTCACCAGGGGGACCCCAGGCCAAGCCAAGGGAAGACTTAACAGACACGAAGGCTATGTGCCCACATATGCACGCGCGCACGCACACACACATACACACGCACAAACACAAATCCACACAACCACCCACAACTTGAAACTTCTGCCTCGCAACGTTTTGGCTGCTGGAGAGGAGGTCCTACACGTGTCCGTGATTCACAGAGGAGGAAGACGCCTCCCGCGAGGCCGGTGCCCTGGTGAGCCACACCCAATGGCAGTGCCCGTGCTGAGCAGGTCCTCATGGCTGGGCGGGCGCTGGGCAGCATCTGTCCCAGGCCAGAGCAGGTGCCCATGCCATGTCCCTGAGGTAGCTGGTGCCTGTGCAAAGTAGGAGCTACCGCTCCCACGTGTCCCCTGCCGCCGTGGTCGGAGGTGCGGGGGCCCTCATACCGATGACTCCTCGGGGTTGGAGTCCGGCAGGGGCTGGCGCTGCTGCAGTTTACGTCTCAGTTCGTCAGCGAGTTCAGGCAGGGGGTGCCCAAGGCTGCCTCGGTCCTCCCCTCCAAGTTGTAAGCGCACATAACCATTGGCGTTTGAGTTCCGCCCACCCCCCAGGTGAAGTCGTGTTGGAGAAGGGAGGGGCTGGCCAGGCATGCCAGGAGGAGGAGAAGGGGGCCCACCTCCAGGCTGGCATCGGGCGTGTCCTGGCACAATCTTGAGGGAGCCATCAGAGTAGTAGTAGCCAACAGGATCCCAGAGTTTTTCGTCGGTTTCCGGGCCTGGCCGGAAGGGGGTGCTGGCGGGTTCCTTGGGCAACTCCAGAGGGTACACCAGGGTCCTCTCAGCCGCCTTGGCACCTTTCTCCAGCTCTTCCCGCAGCCGCCGGCGCAGTGACAAGACGAGCAGCAGGAGCACCAGGCACACGGCTCCTAGGGCCACCACAGCCAGCCATACCAGGCCCAGGTTTTCCAAGGGCGCCCGGGCCTCCAGGGTCACGGAGGGCCCCGCCACAACGGCCACGAGGTAGCCTTCAGCAGCTAGCTGGGCCCCCTGCTCCTCAGAAAAGCAGTGGTATGTGCCAGCATGGTGGGACTGGGCGGCCATCACCACCAGCGCCTGGAGTCGGGCATCATAGAGGAAGGAGCCGGGCTGTTCGGCAGGCAGATCGCGGTCCCTGAAAGTCCAGCGGGCGTGGGCCAAGTTGGAGGAAAGGCGGCAGGGCAGCACCAGGTCCGTGCCCGCCACGACTGTGATGTTTTTAGGAGTGAGTCTGACTACAGCGGCAGAGAGAAAAGACAAGAGCAGAGTTAGGGCGAGAAACCCAGGAGAGCAGAAGCCACAGGGTGGGGGCCGGGATCGCCCCAGGGGCAGCAGGCACAACAAAGACAGCTCACCTTTCTTATTGCCCCGCAGGTTACAGATACCCGATGTGTCTGACAGGGTCACGTGCTGCGTCAGGACCGATCTGGTAGGGCAAGCAGGGTCCGTCAGCAACCCCGGTTTCAACCACCCAGCCTGGTCCCCAGGCACCACCAGCAGCCTTACCCGGAGTGGGCCCCCACGGGCACGCAGCGGCTGGTGTTGGTGTTCCAGGCACAGTAGGGGTCCCGGGCAAGGACACAGTCCGCACAGGAACGGTACTTCCCACAGTCAGCCAAGGGTACCTGAACCAGTTGAGAGTGGGAACCGGCAAACAGCAGCTTCTGCCGAGAGAACAGGGACCCAAGGAGGGGAGGGTGAGCCGGTGCCCCTACCCACAGGTGAGGCAGCCAAGCCAAGAGTGTGCTGGGTGGGGCACAAAGTACCAAAGGAGGTGCCGCAGAAGGAATGCTAAGACCCCAAGAATTCATGAAGGGCTTTACTAAAGGCAGACACAATCATAAGCACCTTATAGACATGACCTTATCAGAGATGGAGCCAAGGACACACACACACACACACACACAAGAGGTTTTTCTCCAAACCAAGCAATCCTCATGGTAACGGCAGCATTGCATTAAGGCATTTGTTACAAGGATGACTGCCGATCTGTGTGTTTATTCAACCACACGCTTTCTTTTAGTCATGATTCTGTGTGCTGGGGAACAGGTTTGAATCACACTGATTGGTAAGGCGCAAACAGACCAACAATGTAGGGTACTGGGAGGTGGGGAGGAACCTGCTATGAACATGCCAGAAAGAACTGTAAGGGGGTCTAACTTGAGTGTCTTAGGGACCCGGCCTAGGATGCGGAGGGTCTGGGACACAGCCTGTCGGGGACTGCCAGGAAGCAGATGGGGTGAGGGCACCATGAACAGCTCACAGTTCCAGAGGGCTCCAGGTCAGTGGGGCCTCATGATGAACCAAGAGGCTGGCCAAACCATGGCATAACTCAAGGGGGATGTGGGGCAGTGTACCGAGGCCCATCTCTGACCCTGCAGCCTCGCCCCAGGCCTGGCCACATTCTTAGCTTCCTGAGACTCAGCCCCAGCTGGGTGAGCTGCATGGAGAGGAAAGGGGACAGCATGGTGTAGCGCCCAACGCATTACCTTGCTCTGGGACAGCACCAGGCTCTCGACGGGCTCTCGTTCAAACAACTGCAGCTCCTCAATCAGGTGAACCCAGGACCCCAAGTTCACAGCCTTGAGCAGCCAGCCATCTCCTAGGGAAGCAGGTGAGAGAAGGAGTCCGTCAGAGGGCTGCACATGCTCCTCCCTCTGGGAAGGGGGCACCCCCAGACCTCCTCACCCTGGGCCCTCCCATGTACTCCCTCACTTACCCGTGCCAATGAACAGCACTGTATAGGTGGCTCCATCAAGCCCCGTGACCTGGTCGGCCACTAGGCGGGTGAAGTTGGTGTCTTTCTTCACCAACAGGGGCCGGCTCCAACGAGGCCGCACCTGCTCCTCCATCAGTGGATGCTTCTTGATGAAGTTCAGGGTGTTGTCAGGCAGCTCCAGGGAACTGGTGTAGCCATGTCGTCGGTGCCAGTTGTTGATGCACTGCACATAGGACAGGGTAGGGCAGGGTATGTGTGTCAGGGGTGGGTGGGCGGGGCTTTGGGGCCTACAGGTGGGAATGCACACCCTTGCCCCTCCAGAGGACTCACCGAGCCAGGCCGGGGGCTGGGGACCGGGTCCGTATAGCGGCCCCACTTCTGGGCCTGTTCCTGGTACTCCTTGTAGGGTCCCTCAAACACCTGCTGGATCTCTTCCAGCTGGTACTCACACACAGCTGATACATCCACGTCGCCCCTGTGGCCATGGTGAGGGAGGGGCCGTTAGTGCATTTACCCCGTTTCCCCCTGGCTCCAGGCACACAGCACGAAGTAGACACAAGCAGAGATGCGGTGGCTGCTCTTGGGTACACCCTCTGCCCACCTCCCACAGGGAGTTTAGGAGAGCGGCCGGTGCCTAGAGTTACCTTTGGCTTCTGGACAACCAGCCCACCTGGTTGTCCACCCCCAACCCACAGCCAAGTCTCTCACATCCATTCCCTGCCTCTAAGCCGAACACCTGTTCCTCCCTCTCCCCTTTCCCCCCAAGACTCCAAGTCAACTCACCATCGTGCTCTGAAAACCCCGAAGAAAGTGGTATTGTGCCAGGAGGAGCCCTGTAGAGTGTGTATGGCCTGTAGCCGGTTAAAGTAGAGCTGCCACTCGGGTGCCGAGCACAGCAGCCGTGCCTTCAAGAAGGTGGTCCACTTCTTCTGCAGGGTCCGTGCGCCCCCCACGTCACCCTGGCAAGTGGTAAGGAGATAAGGCTGGTCAGCGCTGCTGGGCCCTCTAGGGAGCTCACCCCAATTCCCCTCCAGACCCCGCCAACACTGGAAGGACCCAGTACCACCTTGCAGATGCGGGCCACGCGGGCCACCACCTGCTCAGCGTAGCAGTCATACTCGACGGCCCGTTCGCTGAAGAAGAAGTAGATCTTGTCATCGTCCCCTGTGAAGCTCCCCACGCTCTCAGGGATGTAGACCGAGGCTACAAAGTGAGGCTCTGTGGGAAAGTGGGGTCCAGTCAGTGGTGGTGGGGTACAGGAGGGACAACAGAGCAGTGTGCCACAGGTACCCCAGCCCCATGTCAGCGCCTCAGGGCTCACCGTTGAGCCAGGAGGCCAGGTACTCTGTCTTCATGGAGTGTCGAGGCCCCATGTTACGCAGGATAACAGGCTCTGTGCCCAGGAAGTTGTTGAGTGTAGCTGAGTAAAGTTCCCCATCTGTGAGACACACATACATAGGGTGAGCGGGGCCAGAGGGGGATGGGGACCAGACCCCCTTGGAGGAGGAACTAGTCCACTCACCCACAAGGAGGCCAGTGTGGCCCTTGGCTGGGTCATAAGGACACTTCCCCTTGCCGTCTTCAAGGTCTCCTCGCTGCAGGGTGAAGGTGGGCATGTCCTGGGAGAGGGGAAAGGCAGGGAAAGCCAGTGTGAGCCCAGCTGCCCAGGGCAGAGGCATGTGGGAGCAGTGGCATACAGCAAGCACTCACGATGTACGTGCACTTGGGCTGGAAGGCGTAAGTCCCGCAGACATATAGGTGCGATGCGTTGTAGGGCTGCAGGAAGCGGATGAAGTTGAAGCATTCCGTCTACGGGAGCAAAGACATCCAGTTAACAAGGGGTACAAGGGCCCTGCACTGAGGACCAGCACTGGATCTAAGGCAGAGCTGGGCAGTGGCTGTGTTCCCCAGGCACTGCCCCACACCCATCCCACAGCTCTGTGGGCAGTGCCCTGGCACCTACCTGGTTGCTCTTCCCTTTCTGGGAACACTCCATCTTCTTTTCAGCAGGGGCCTCCCAGGAGATCTGCGGACAGGCAGGGTGCATCAGCAGCAGGTCACGCTGGGCGTGTCCCACAGGGAGAAGGCCTACAGCTGCAACATGGGGACCCGTGGCACAAAGGCACGGTCCCAATGCTCTGGAGGCTTGGTCTGCTACAAGACACATGTCCTGAACTGCCCTCACCCCTTAAGTGCCCAGGGGAGAGGAAAGTTCACTCCTAAGGAGATGGGGAATCAGAAGCCAAGTACAATGTCCATGATACTGGTGGCAGGAGCGAGTCACGCCCCCTCAGGGCCCTGTCCTCTCCCCCCTACCCACGCCCCTCCCGCTGCCCCACCTCTCACCGCTCCTTGCAGCTCCATAGCCTCCACGCTGAAGGCAAACAGGACCTCACGAGCCCCCACGTACAAAAGCCCCGTCTGCTCCGTCAGCGTCAGAGTCAAGAAGTCCTGGATGCCCACTTGGGAGAAGCGCCGTACAACCGTGGCCAGCTCTGCAGGAACAAGGAGGGGAGGGTGTGGGGGACAGACCATGTTGAGCAGAGTTGAGTCTGAGCAGAACTCCCGGATGCCCGTCACTGCTCTTTCTCTCTCCCTGTATTCTCAGGCCTCATCCTCCCACTTCTCCCCAGGTGGGGGCCAGCCCAGACCCCTGACTGGCCATCAGGAGTGCTTGCTGAATAGTCCTGGGCTCTGACAATGTCCCTTGGACTTTCCACAGCCTGCAAGGAGGAGGCAAATCCAGGCCATGGAAGAGGAAGGATATCTCAGCCACAGCTTCCGGCCAGAGGAAGCCATTGGGCTGTTGGGGCTCCCTTTCTGGAATCAGGAACACCTCTAGCCACAGGGCAGGGCGCTCCCCCCCCACTCCCCCCACCCTCCGGCTTCCCAGGCTGCCCACTCTGCACTGCCTGCTGTGAATGCACAGGAGGATCTCACCCAGGCCCAGGGTACCAACCCAAAAGGGCACGAGATATGAAAGTGCTGTGAGGAAGCTCCTTGTCTCAGGAAATCATCCTGCCAGCAGCCCCCAAATTCAGCTGACCCCTGGGATGGGATGGCAGGGGGACCAGGAGGCCATGCTGGGGAAGTGTCAGGGAAGCCAGGGGGCATGGGTCAGGGCTCACTGATTTACAGGGAGGGGCCGCCCATGTGGCAAGCAGAGCTTGAGACCATGTAAGCACCACACCACACGGTTCCTATGCTGGGCCCCCAAGAGCTGCTGAGTTGGTCTCAGGGTCCCCCCAAACCAGCCCTAAAGTCTTGAGAGGCAATGGTGGGCACAGATAGACAGAGGCCAGCAGCAAAGTGGAGCCTCTGGGAGGTGAGCTCATCCCAGGTCCCCAGAGTACCGGGATGATACAAACACCTGACATCACCTCTTCCTGCAGGTGCATGCAAACAGGGAGGGAGGGCTGCAGGCTGAGCTCTGTCCATGCCATGCACACACACGGTGTCACCAGAGGGGCATAGCATTGGAGCAACCAGTGGGAGGATCTGCTAAGGCTAATGGAGGCTCTTGAGGGCAGGGAATGGAGAAAACTAGGAGGGCCGTGGCTTTATACCTGGTTTGGTGCTATGTGGGCAAAAATTCAAGAAGCAAGGCAAAGGGAGAGCAAAGCAGAATGGCCTTAGACCCTTACATTCTGGGGGCAGGCAAGTCTGGGGTCGGGAGTTAGTGAGATTTGCCTAAAACCTGTATGAAGTGTCAGGAGGCAAATCCCAGGTCTTGATCTATGTGCAAAATTCCAGGTCCTGATCTAGGCACAACTTGGTCTGCATAACTGGACCACTCCCACTTACTTCTTAGAAAGCCCATTAGAACCTGGCAACCAAGACTGGGGGGTCCAGGCTACACCCCTGCTGTAGCAGCAGGCAGTCCCCTCCAAGTCCCCTACCCTGTTCCTTTGCTCCTCCCAACTTGAGACACTCACCCCCAGAAGATACAGTCTTCCGGGGCACAAGGTTCCACCATACCTCAGCCCCAATGCCCAAGCCCCACAGCCCTGCTGCCAGCAGCCAGACAGCCCAGTGGGGGGCCATGGCACACGCAGCAAGCCGCACGTGCTGGGCTGGCTCAACGCTTCAGGCCAGCTGCCCTGCTGAGGGAAAAGAAACGGTCAGCATTACAAGTAGAGAAAACAGACAAGGCAGCAGAATCAAGACACAGGACAGGCCCCCACATCCAGCCAGGCCTCTGCACCTGCCCCTGGGTCACTCTCCTGCCTCTCTATAGAGGGGCTCCTATACCCCGCAGCTGGACCTCTGCAGCCCCACAAAGACAGGGGTCCCCCTTTGGGGAGACAGGGCTATAGCAAAGTCCGCCAGGAGGCGTGGACAAGCACTCAGAATCCAATTCGGCCTCTAGGCCCTCCCCACTCCCTTCTCGGCAACAGGAAGTTGCTAGGAAAAATTAAAAGGGATCCCTTTCTACCACCTAAAAGGTTGGGAGTTCCTTAAAATAAACGCAAGCAGCAGGACCTCGTTTCCGCTGCAGCCACAACAGCACGCCAGAAGCCCTCGCTCAGGGACGCAAACCCCTCAAGGGGGGACAGACAGTTTGCAAAGCCCCCTACTCCCCCGCAGAAGCACTGGGTGCAGCGGACTGCGTTTTTGTGGCGCCCAGAGGTCTCAGCCCGGCCTGTCCCCTCCCCCAGTTCAGACAATAGCCGGGCAGAGCCCAAAACCCCGTTCCACATCAGCAGGGATGGAGTGGGAGCGGGGCCGGGAGCCGAAGGGGCCCAGCTTCCCGAGGCCCCTTTGTTGCCCAAGAGGGAGGCAGGAAGTGGGTGGGATGGGCGTGGAAATGACCAGGGCCTCATCCTGTTCGTCGCACAACCCTCCTAAGAGACACCAGCCCTCGGGGCTGAGGGGCCGTGGGTCAAGAGCCCTCCGCGGTCTCATCAGGGTTCTCCCCCAAGACACCGGCAGGCGGAGCTGGGGAAGGAGGGGTTCAGGCAGGACAAGGGGGTGGAGAGCACCAGGGGTTCCACTCGGACCGCGGGGGTGGGACGCGTCGCGCACTGCCGACACCCACTGTGCTTCCTCACACACCCCGGCCCCAGCTCTCACGAACCTTTCCAAACTCCAGGACTGCACCCCGAGAATCCCGGCCTACGCAAGGCCAACCGGACCGATTCCCACTATTCCAGCCTTCCCGTGCTGGGTACAGAGGCCCAGCTGGGGACCTATTCGCTCCCATACAAAAAAAGGGTCCCTGATAAAGACCCCGTCCCGGGTCCTGTTCCCCTTCATCCCTCACCCCAGGCTCTCCCCTCCCCCCGCACTAGGGATTTGAATGCAAACAAAGCGGCGCCGGGAGTGTGGCGAAGCTCGGCCTGCGGACGCCCCCTGTCGGTCCAGAACCCCGGCGCGGGAAGGGCGGGGGGCTTGGGCTGCGATCGCCCCCGACATAGCCCCCTACATCCCGGGGCACCCCCGACCCTGCCTCCGCCGCTTACCCCCAGGCTCGGGCTGGATCCCGCGGCGCGCTCCGTTCGCGGACCCGCCAGCGCAGCGGCGCCCCCACCCCCAGCTCCTCCCAGGGCGGGGGAAAACGAGTAGCCAGAGGCTGTAAGGGTGGGAGGGTGCGGGGTCCCGGCGGTGCACTCCGTGACGTTGCCCACCCGGAGCAGCTACCCGCGGGCAGCGGCGATTTAGCCCGGGACCTGGCGGCCAACGGGGGCCTTGCTTTCCGAGGCAGCCCACCTCCCCAAGCGGAACGGGCGGGCGGGGGGCCGGGGCAGGGAAATCCGATCCCACAACATCGGCCTCGGTCCAAGCCCGCCCCAAACTTTCCGTCTGGGGTGGTGGAGCGGGGAGGGGGGCAATTCGGGAGCCTGGCGAGGATCGCGGCCACGGACCGGACAGCACAAGGGACCACCCCCTCACACTCAACACAACACACACTCCCTCAACCTCGCTTCCATCTACCGGCCAGCCCCTCCGGCCGCCGGGGCTGCGAGCACCGTTCGCCCCGCTCCAGAGCCCCTTCCAGGCAACCCGCGAGGAACGCAGAGTGGCGCTCGGACGGACAGCTGTCTCCGCGCCCCCGCTCTCTGCCGGAGCAGGGGGACAAAGCAGCGGCCCCAGGGTCCCCACAGCCCCTGCCCCGCGCACGCCCGGTTTCACTCACCTCCTGCGCGCAGCTCAACTCCCCGGGCGCCGCCCTCGCGCTCGATTCCGACCACGGCCCGCTCCTAGCCCGCACCGCCGTCCTCCCGCCCGCCTGCCCGCGCGCGGCCGCCAGCCCTCCTCGCTGCCCACTCTTGCCACCGCCCCTCGGCCCCGATCTGCTGCGCGCCCCTGGGCTCGGGTTCCCCGCGCCACCGCGGCGGGTACACTCTTCTCGACCCGTAATGTCTCCTCCTCCTTGACGTCAGGCGAGGGAGGGGGGATGTGGGTAGGCTGGGGGCGGACTCGAAGGCCCTCCCTGGATGGAGGAGCCCATGGGGGCTTGAACCCCTTGCTGTCCGGCCTCCCCAGTCCTGGAGTCACGGTGTGCGCCGTGGCACCCGTACCCGGAGGGAGGAACTCCAGGTATTTCTCGGGGCTCCCGGCGGGGGGGGGGGGGGTAGGGGTGGGAGGATGAGAGGGAATTGGACTCACCTAATCTTTCCCCCAAGTGGCCCTCAAAGACGTATGGTGGGTTTTGCATCAAGAACGAAGCAGAAGACCCAGCTTCAGGCAAGTGTGCCAGGGGTGCTGGTCCAAATACTACCACTTTGCTTGCACCCCTCCCACCACATCCCCGCTGGCCTTTGCCCTCAGACTGAAATGAGCTTGGCCAGCCAGGAAGACCCTTGAGTCCCTGGAGACACTCAACTCCTTGTTTCTTGGGCTCCAGGCAGAGCCTTCCCCCAGGAAATGACTCCTTCTGGTGCCACTGGAAAGCTGTTGAACAAGTGGCTGCAGCCCTGATGTTCAGATGAAAGGGGCTGAGAGCCTCCACACTGCAAAGCTGATGGGTCCCCAGCTGCTCTTCTAAGGAACTGTAGCTCTGCCCTCCTGGGGCAGTGTTGCTAGCCAGTCCTTCCTGCCAGCTGGTCCCTGGAGCTGGGCAGGTGGACAGAAGAACCTTTTGAGGCAGCCACCTCAAGTGCAGCACCTGGAGATGGATGCCAACCCCTGGCTGGGAGGCAAAGGGTGAGTGGGAGTTGATGGTGGACCTGGAGCACCAGCCCCTCTCCCCCCACGCCCTGCACCTTCCACTTGGAGCCAGGCTGCGGTCCTGGAGGCAAGGCAGGCTGTAGTCTCCGTCAGCAAGGTCTGGATTATAAATCAGCTGTACAGTGGCTTTTATTCTGGGCTAAAACTTGGCATCTGCAAAGTGGAGACCAGAAGAGCAGTGGAGATCGTTGAGGAAAGCAGCCAGTTTGGTTTCAGTAACAATCGAGTCTTTGCTGGTCAAACATAAAGAGGCCCCTTCTCCAGCACTGGCCAAAGCCACAGTTCCCAGCTCCTCTCCAGCGGGGGGGGGGGGGGGGGGGGGGGGAGGCGGAGAAAAAAAAAGCTATGAGGTCTTGGAGATGCTAGAGCTAAGGGGCAAGTGGGCAACACTCACCATGGGTCAGAACCCCATCTGCCTGTCCCATGTCCAACAGCCCCACTGCTGAACGGGCACTGCCCCTCACACTCCAACACAACTTCAGACCTTGCAACCTGCCTCTCACGCCTTTAAAGTTTCTTCTCTCCTACATGACCACCTCTCCACCAGTCGCTATGGTGTCTGGTTTTATGGATAAAACATGTCTCCAAAAGGTGAGTTAGCAGCTCCACAGTCACTCACCAAAGCAGGAGTGGGAAATCAGGTCTTGGGACTCCGGATTCAGTCTCTCCACCAAGTCACCAGATATCCTAACAATGCTCCGTTTCCTGTTTTTCCTCACCTCTAAGCCTCACTGCGCCCCCCTCCCAGCCTGTCCCCCCCAGCCTGCAGGTGTGAGGGTGCCCAGGCAGAGACCTGAGCTCTCTGGCCCAGGCTCCCAAGATGGCCCAGTGGAAAGTTTCAAAAGGAGATTGGGTTTCACTAGCAGGGACAGTCTTCTTCTTCCATCCCTCAGTGGCAAGTGCTTGAGTCCCCCAAAGCCAGGGATACAGAGAAGCCCCCAGCTAAGCGACACCCTCAACCCCCAGCCTTGGCAGCTCTTTCCTCGATCTCCCCCAAGGTATAGCTCCAGCTCCAAAACCCGATACCCCGCCCCCTCCTCTTCTACCTCCATGCATTTCCTGCTGTTCTTGTTCATTGCCAGCACTGGCCTTTTCCGTGGGTGGGTGGGCAGAAGATAAAGTTTCCTGCAGGACTGCTTGCTCGTGATTCATACTTTTAATAAAAGCACAACTGGTAGAAATATGAGTATTCCTGAGTCTTCCATTAAGGAGGAAAAAAAAAAAGAGGAGCCAGTATCGTGGCATGGCATATTAAGCTTCCACCTATGGTGCTGGCATCCCATATGGGTACTGATTCAAGTCCCATTTCCAATCCAGCTCCCTGCTAATGACCTGGAAAAGTAACAGAGGATGATTTAAGTTCTTGGACCCCTGCACCCATGTGAGAGATCTAGAAGTTCCAAAGTCCTGGCTCTGGACTGGTCCAGCCCTGGTCATTATGGCCACATAGGCAGTGAACCGGCAGATAAAAGAGCTGTTTCCCTCTATATATAACTCTGCCTTTCAAATAAATGCAAGTATACAAATAAATTTAAAAAAAAAAACAAAAAAAGGATTTGACAGCCATGAAATAAAGATGACTATGTAGTCTCCCTAGGTTGGCATTCTGCCCATCAGGCCTTAGGCCTTGACAAACCCTCCTACTTGCCCCCATTTGCTCAACTGCTCATGGCCACATCAAGCAAAGAGATATGCAAAAGTGAAATGCCTCCTGGAGTTCTCCTGCAAGCCACTGGCAGCTTGGGCCAGCTGCACAGCCAGCCAGGAGTCTCCCTAAAGTTAAGCCCCCTTCCTAAAGTTAAGCCCCCTCTCACACATGTTGGTCCTGGTGGCAGCACTGGAGTTGCCTGCCCGCCCGCGCATGCCCGCCCCGCCAACCCCCACTACCAAGACAGCCTTCTGGCAGGAGGGAGCCCCAGGTCTCTGGTTATCCATCCCCAGGCTACTCCCAAGGCAGCAGGAAGGTGCTGTCAGTGCAGATGGTGAAATGACTAGGAAGGGGGCTGACTGAGGTGAGTAGGGACATAGGAAAAGGACTTCCTCTCCCTACTTCCTCTAGAGGGAGAGTTATCGAAGCTGTCCACCTGGGAAGCCTTTCCCTTCCCGGCCCCTCCCAGTCACCACCACCAAAGGGAAGCAGGAAAACGTCGGTCATCACAGCCCCGGATACTGTTTTTCCAGTGGCTTCCATCAGGATATCCCTCTACTTTTTCCCAGGGGCTTTGGGATCTGGAAAGGTCAAAGACCTCAAGTGCAAGTGGCAAAGTTGCCAGCACTGCTGTGGACAGCTTGGCCTTAAGGAACCTGAGTTTTTAATCATCCTGGAATATTTTTGTATTTTATTTAACGATATTTAAAGTTATTAATCTAAAGTACAGAAACAGAAAGAGACCGACACACAAAAAGAACTTCCATCTGCTCCCAGATGCTTACAATAGCTTGGGCTGGGTCAGGCCCAATCCTGGAGCCTGAAACTCAACGGAGGGCTCCCGTGCGGATGGCAGCAACCCAGAGACTGAGCTGCCTGCTGGGATGGGCCTCACTCAGCAGGAAGCTGGGAGCAGAAGTGGAGCAGACACTCCCAACACAGGCACTCCCACACGGAATGCAGGTGTCCCAGATGATGTCTTCATGGCTGTGCCAAATGCCTGCCCACCCTACCCGCCTTGTGTAAGATGATCTGGTCAGCTCCTAGCCAGTCCCAGAGAGCGCCCATTACAGGCCCCAGGGGATAGCGTGCGCCCTTGGGTGACCTCCCCCTGCACGCCTCTGCTCAGGTTACAGCCAGGTTTGTGAAGGGACTGCCACCAACACCTCCCCTCCCCTCCCCTTGGTGTCTGTTTCTCTCTTGGGAACGAGTGCATTTTGGGAGCCAGAAGCCAGGGGCTGGGAAGAAGGGCTCAGGGGGTCTCTCCTGGTGGCCAGCTTGGGCCCTTTCTCAGAGCCACATAGGGCAGCTTGGAGACCTGGAAACTCCCTGCCTCAGACTCCTGGGACAGCCTCTCTGCCCTTGGCAGTCAGAACAAAGAAGGGAAATTTCAAAGGTGATTTCCAGGTTTCTGAGGATTACCTGTCAGGATGTGTGGTGGCCCGGCAAGGGCACCCTGAGGGCTGTGCGGGAGAAGGCACCTGGTTCCCCAGAGTCCCCTGGTTTACAGGACACCCTGATGCTGCTGGGGGCTGGGGGATGGCTGGCCGCGGACGCAGGCAATGCAGCCAGGAACAGAAACCAGAACTGTCAGCTTCCCTGGCCCGGGAAAGGTTTCTTCCACCTCTCATTTGGCAAATGCTATGTGGCGGAAAAGGCTGTCTGTGTGGTGCCCGGCAGTGCCAGTGCGCGCCTGTGCCCAGGCAGTCTGAATAATAGATGCCCCCAGGGCTCCCAGCATGTTGGTGACCCACAGGCAGGGGAGTTGTGACTGCAACAGTCCCAGGGAAGACACTGCTGGAATCTGTACCACAGGCCCCTGGGCCTGCAGACAGGACCTTTATTTTGGAGCAAGTTTTTTCCTGCTCAGCCCTCTCCTGGCTAACCCCTGTGCACGGGAAAAGGAAAAGGACACATGACAGAGAGATACAGAACCGTAGGCAACAGCTACAGGGCTGAGTTGAGGAGCAGGCTCAGTCCAGATTGGCAGGCGCAATTAGGGTGCTACTTCTGGCTGCCTCATGTACCCCTGCAAAACTCCATCCCCTCCCTCTAGGCATGAGGATAGAAGATGAGGTATGCTTCCTTAGGATTGGAAGAGTGGGAAGAGAAAGTGGACACCAGGTGGCCTCTTGGGGGACACAGGCCCTCTGGCTTCTCCAGGGTGGGGGTTCAGGTCAGAGATACCTAGTACCCCAGCAGGGATCAAGACCTGTGAAACCAATCCAGGGCAAAGCTTAGAGGGAAAGCCAAAGCCAGATCTGGAACTGTCTTTGGACCCGCCCCACTCCTGAGTCTGAGGAGCTGCTTTCAGGCCTCAACAATAAATCGAATTAAGCATAATTACAGCCCTGATCCACCAGCTCATTTGAGGTAGCCTCCCCAGCGGGAGCGGGGCATGAGGAAGGGGTCCCAGAGTGTGTCCAAACAAAGATTTTCCCATCTCTGCAGCCTCCCACCCCCATCCCAAGTCCCTGTAGTTCTCCCCGCTGCAGGGAGCAGGGTCCGCTGCTTCTCCCCCTGGGACTCGCCTAGAGCCCACTCTGCAGGAGGCAGGGCCTGGCCAGGTCAGTCACTGTCAGAGGTGAGAACTGGGCAGGGCACAAGCAGAAAGCAGAGGCGTCAAGAGCCCTGGGGATAAGGACTGAAGGAAGTTTTCTAAACCGCTGATGCTGAAATAAGACTTTAATGTGCACAAAGAAACCTCACATTAGTGACAGGGAGAGAGGAGGGCGGGGAGGATTGAGGAGGCCTCAGGAAACCAGAGCCATATAGACAAAGGCCTTGGGGGAGAGGAGCTGATGGGGAGGGAGGGCCAGGTGGGCAGAAATCCTGCCCTTGCTGGGTGGGGAGCAGGTGGGGACTGGGGTAGGGGGTAGGGGGTAGGGGCAGGATGGGATCTTGCTTCATCTTGCTCCATCAGGATGGTCAGCCTCTGGGCCTCCTTTGGCCTTGACTCACCTCCTTCAGTTCCCCTAACCCCGGGCTGCCCTTGTCCCTTTACGTGTCCTTCCAGGGACTGAAGTACTGGGCCTGTGGCAAGGAGAAAAATAGGGTTGTGTTGGCCTGATCCCATGTGCTGCCTATCGTCCTGAGGCGCCCCCAGGTCCTTCCACTCAGCATTCACACCAAGCCTCCTCCCAGCCACAACTTCCAAGGCTCACACCAGGGCTGCATTACAGCAGATTCATAGGCCACTTGATCATAGAGCAGTAGTGTGTTCAGCTGAGGTGCCCTGCACTTGCTGTGCCAGACCCATGGCAGGGTGGCAGGAGGCTGGTGGCTGCAATCACACTCTGCCAGGCCACGAATCACTTTCCCTGGTCTTCGTGACCCACACGCTGCTTCCCACCCGACCTAGTGTCATCTAGCTCCTGGGCTTGGGAGGGTAAGGTTCACTCTCCAGCTTTCTCAGAGACTTGCGAAATCTGAGACCCAAGCCACAGTCTGTGGCCAGTGTGTCAGCCCCAAGTCAGAGGTTAGAGAGGGAAGGGATACAAGGGAGGCAAGTAGACAGCTGGGAAGCACCGCAAGAAGGGTGGGGAAATGGCTCCTGGAGCCCCAGCTGTCTCTGTCATGGCAGAGACAGGGGAAAGACAGGGGAAAGACAGGGGACCCAGTGTGGTCAGAGAAGGAAGAGTGCACAGCCAGGCCAGCAGGTGCAGTTGGTTGCCAAGATGGAGGCCAGAAGCAGGGTAGGTGGGTCAAAGCCAGGCTTGAGGGGATCAGGCTGGCTCTGGGCCCCCTGTTTCTGGCATTCACAGATTCAGCCTATGGGATGGCTTAGGGTCTCTGCTTAATTTGCGTATCTGTAAAATGGGCTTTGACCACACCTGGCTGGTAGGGGGTTACATAGGTTCACTGAGAAACGGGTCTTTATTCAATAGACAGGAGCTATACGTGGGGCTACTCAGAGTCTGAGACACTTGTGTGGGGTGGGGGCTGCTGTAGAAACGGGGCGGGGAGGTAACAGGACAGCTACGCACTGCTCCTTCTAGCAGAGTAGGACCCAGTCCAGGGCTTCTGGGACAAATGGGCAGGGGGTAGACAGCTGGTGTCTCTGGCACCCCTTCTTGGCATTGCTTGACACAAACTGGCACTCATTGCCCAGGCCTCCCCTCTTTAGAACTGTTTCTCTTTGCCTTTGCTCTGGAGGGGGCTTCTTCTTGGCTGTTCGCCCTGCCCTGGGGGGCACTGGATTCCTGACCAACACAGTCAGAGTCCCCAGGGGGTCATCTCCTCCCTGCCCATTCGGGCTCATTGCCCTCCCCACCCTTGTCCCCTGGGCTAGAAGCTCAGCAGCTGCTGAGGGGGCGGACACAGCGGGGTGGACACGCTGCTGGTGCTGGTCAGCCCTGCCCAACCACTTCCCTCCCCACCCATGGGTCAGAGGGCAGATGACTGGGGGTCAGAAGGGGACACCACCTGGGGCTGGCAGTGGGCCAGCAGCTCCTGCCAGCGGATGTAGGTCTGGGTGGCCAGATCCTTGAGGTTGGTCCTATGCATGGCCTGGGGACTCTCACGGATATGGGTGCTGATGTGGCGGTCCAACTGCATGCACAGCAGCTGCAGTTCCCCCTGCGGAAGAAGATGGGAGGGGTGTGAGTGGGTGGCCAGGCGCATCCAAGGGGGAAAATGGAGGCAGGGAAAAGCAGCCACATGTTTGAGTGACTGCTGGCAAGTTGGGCAGGAAAGGGAGGACAGGGCTGGGCCAATTGCAGGGCAAAGGGGGGTCAGCATACACTGGGGACAGTGGCCCTGGTTCCCCACAGCCTCCCACTTACTGCTGCTCCTGACAGCAAGATGGGCTCCATTATGCTGGCCCTCTGGCTGCTTGGTGGAAAGGACACAGCTGGGGGCCCCGTGCCACCCCAGCCTCCCACGAGACTCACCCATTGGTTTGGAGTGATGTCCTGACTGCTGACCACCACCCCAGCCAGGGTCAGCAGGCTATGGCACAGGTAGCATACCTGGAGGGATGGTGCAATGAGACCTGCTTCTTGACTCATGGTGGCTCTCCCTAAACCTGTGCACCAGAGCTCTCAGCACTTGGCTCACCACTGTGGTTCTGCAAGGCATCTTCTGGGGGAACCTAGGCAGGCAGGGCTCTGAGTCCCACCACCCTCAGGCAGCCACCACCAGCTTTCCCTCTGATGAAAGGCCTCCATCCTTCAGCAAAGGAAGTCTCTGCCAAGCAGAAACACAGTCTCCCCACTCTTCGCCCCACCACCTCCAGTAGGGAAACCCTGTGGAGAAAGGCACCTGTCTACTCTAAGCAGGCTCTAGAAGGGACTGGCAGGGCTCCAGCTTAGTGACCATGGGACTGCAACTTCAAGCCAGCCCAAAGCCTCTGTGCTCTGACTACTGGGCCCTCCTTGAGCACCAGGCGACGCCCCGGAAACAGCAGCAGCTCCTCTGGGCAGACTCCAAGGCCTCCCTGGGATACAGCCAGAAGCACAAGCTTTTGAGGGCACCGGCCTTAGTGTGATGATGAATTCGACTTCTCAAACCCGAATACCATGGTCCAAGAGCTAGAGGAAGGATGCTGTCTGGGTGTCCCCTTCCCTAGCCAGGGCCCTGCCTGGGACTGGCTCTGTTCAGCAAAGCAGATGAGCTGGTTCAGTCCATGGGGCTGACCAGATGGCTACACTGCCCGGTGACCAGAGAAGGCCCAGTGGTGGAGGCCAAGGTGGTCTTGCAGGCGAGCTTGCTGGAGAGCTGCTTGCTTCTTGTGAGGATTTGTGTTCCCTTCCCTTGGCTTGGCTTTGTCCTGGGGAGGGACCACAGCCTCCAGTAAGGCAGGCTGAGGCCCATGTGCCACATACTATACCTGGACTAGGACCCAGCTGCACATGGGCCAGTGGCAGAGGCTGCCTTCAGGAATCTCAGCTTCCCCATTAACCCAGAGACATGGTGGTTCTAGATTTTATTTGGGGGAGTAAGAGGAGGACAGGGGAGTGTGTGTGTGTGGGGGGGAGTGGGTACAGTTCAGTGGTTTCAAAGAGGAAGTGACTAAGCTAAAACCAGCCTCAAAGGAACAGCAGGATTTGAGGCAAAGATGGTCCTGTGGGGGCGAGGGTGGGGGCAGGGGCAATTACAACACCAGACAGACAGGTCCTGAGGGCTGATGAAGGAAGCAGCAGAGCTAGCACGGACTGCAGGGCCAGGTAGGAGGCTGGGGCTGGCTTGGGGCCAAGCGAGGGGGCGGCCTGGGGACAAAAGGGCTGGCTGCAGAGTGGGGAGGTTTGTGCTGGGTGTTGGTGGGGAGCCTGGTGACAGAGGGTCTGCACCAGGGTGAGGTGCAGGGAGGGATGCCCTTTTCCATCTGTCTGCTTCTTCCTGTGTGCTCCACTGCTATGAAAGTGTAAGATTCACTGACCATCAGGAAAAGAATAACTCAGCCGAATATATAAATCCATGTGCTCTTTCCTGAAGGTTTTTCTCCGTCTTGTGTGCCTCACTGCTATGAAAGTGCATTTGCTTCCATATTAACAATAACACACAGCCCCCTATGAAAGGCTGCCCATGAGTGTGGGGCACTGCCAGCAAAGCACATGGCCTTGAGTGCACTGCCCACCAGAGTGACAAAAGAGCAAAATGACCAACTAAGAGGCATGGAGCCACACTCCCAGAGTCCAAGGATCTCAATGCAGGAGTCTGGGCTGTGCAACTTTCTTTCTTTCTGAGGAGGAGAGGTGTGGCAAGGGTAGGCCCTGGGATCTGAGGAATGCCCTGAGGAACATCAAGGCGGAAGGTCCATGAGCATGGTCACACACACACACCCTCCCCCAGGCAGTGGGGATTTACTGAGAAAAAGAGCCAACATGTGTGTGTGCACGGCTCCGGTTTCACAACTTTGCTTCTTTTGCTGATTCCCATGATTGAATCTGCAGGGAAAATCCCAAGAAAAACAACAGGGTGGAGAGGAGAGGAGAAGGCGGCAGAATAGCAAATAGGGGATGACCGGTCTCAAGAAGCGCCCTAGTGACCTCCTGGAAGCTTCTCCAGAGGGGAAAATCAATCAGCAGCCACCAGTGCTTGGTGCCTTCCCCACCCCCCAGGGTTCTGGAGGTGGGCCCAGTGTGGGGAGGTTAGGTTTCACCCATGACTAGAAGTCAGGATAATGACAGCAGCGACCTCCCTTGAGGGCACTCCGGGGCTTGACCTAAGCTGGATTCCAGGACTCGCCTTGGTTTTTGCTCCTTGCCAGTTCCTCCTGATTGACACAGGATGTACACAGATCCCCCTTCTCCTCTTGGATCCCACATGCGTGTGCACGAGCATGTAAAACGCTGGTAAACGCTGGGAGACCAGAGGGCTCTGAGCCCCCCAGAGCAGGCAGGGCTGGACGGGGGAAGGGCTGTCACTCCTAAGCATTACCAGGTGCTCCCTTCCTGGTGTGACCAATCCCTGAACTCCAGCAAGCCTGCTCCTGTCCTGACTGGCACTCTAGCTTCCCTTTCTAGTAAACAAAGGAGGGGCCCCTGGGGCGGGTGCACCTAACACAGGGGCCGCTGCCTGTGTACCTGCCTGTGTATCCTGCCTACTTCCTCCATGGCTGGGTGCACCAGGTGGTCCTTTCTAAGTTCCCCCTTCAACCTAACTCTAGGGCAGGGTGGGTGGGGTGGGGAGATTCCCTTCCACGGTTGTCTCACTGTTGGAGAAAGTCAGCATGGCTTCAGGATGAAACCCCTGTGGGTGGTGGGTGCTACAATTATTCAGGTCTCAGGATCTGGCCCACCCATCCTAAGTAGCCCAGTTCCTTCTACGCAGGACACACGAGTTGAGGCTGATGGGAAATGGGACCCAGGAAACCTAAGTCAACAATGTGGGAAGACCCAGAGTCTGAGGGCGAAAAAAGGGACGTGCCTGAACCCAGTACTGACAAGACAAGGCAAGGGGCAGCTTCTGTAGCTGCTGCCAGCCCGGCCTGCAGCTCCTGTTGCCCAGGTCTCCCCAGAGCTGGGGTATAGGGGTATAGGGGTATAGGGGTATAGGGGTAGGCAGTCCTTTTCTGCAGCTCCTTGCAGGCTGTCTCACTCCTGCTCTCCAGCCTCAACAGGGATGAGTGACCACACGCAGCCCTGCTAGGCTCGACACCCCCGTGGAGGGGGAGAAAACTAATGTCTCCAGGCTTTGCTCACGCTAGTTTTGACCCGAGCCACTACCAACCAAGTGTTCTAGCTCCAGCCGGATCCATTCTCAGCACTTTGGTCATACAGCAGAGAGAGAATGGGTGGGCATTTCCCAGGAACTCCATCCTTCCGAAAATTCCCCTCCCGCTATTGCCAAGGGAGCAGGCTGAAGCCTGGGTTATTTACACTGCAGAAGGGAAGAGAGGAGAGGCTCTCCCAGGAAGCTAATCGCTCTGGCTAGCACATCCCAGTTCCTCCCACTGCAGGTCATGACCAAGCATCTAACCATACCCTGGGTAGGCCTTCAAGCCAAGCCCTAAAGGCTGCCAGGCAGGGTGGGAGTGGGGCAGAGTAGGCAGGGAATGGAAGGCCAACCCCTCAGGGGGATTCCCGGGCTGGGGTCAGGGGGAAATCGGAGGCTGATCCAGGAATATCTGCCAGGGAGGATGAAGACTGACCCACAGGACATGGCTCACCCAGTTGTGTTGCTGGCATCCAGGGGCTCACCATACAGGGGTCTCTGGCTTCTGCTCGGGGAGCCAGCCTTGAATGTGTGCTGATGGCCAAGTCCCTTGCCTGGGGCATGAAGACACAGAGCAGCCTTCACTGTTTTTACCTTGGCAAGTTCACTGGCTCTGGGTGCACCTGCATTCAGCCCTGTCTCCAAGGCCTTCGTGTTTACCTCTGCCTGATGACAGCCTGAGGGGGAGTGTGCCCACCTGCCAGCACTGCAATCTGCAGGTCCATCTGAGATTTAGCTGCCAGCACAGGTTTGAAAGACCAGGACATGGCAGTTATGCTGCTGCTTGGGATGCATGCTGGAGTGCCTGGGTTTGAATCCCAGCTGCACTTTCAATTCCATCTGCCTGCTAATTGTGGTGATAGCTCAAAATGCTCAGGTTCTTATGTATAGGGATGACATGCGTTGAATTCCAGGCTCCTGGCTTTGGCCTGGCCCAGAATTGGCTGCTGCAGGCATTTGGGCAGTAAACCAATAGATGGAAGCTCTCTCCGTGTCTGTCTCTGTTTATCTTTTTTCTACCTTTAAAATGAACAAAGATAAACTGGAATGAGATCAATTCTAGAATCCATATAGTCTGGGAAAGATGGAAGCTGTGCTGGCCTGCCTTGGGCCACTTCTGACTCAAGGCTAGCTCTGGGTCACAGCACTTGTTTTCTTTTTGATTTGATGTAAGCCTATGGAATCACTTCACAGTATCTTGGCCCAGTGGAGCACAGGGTGCACCTAGGAACCCTCACTTTACAGCAGACGTCAAAGCTGAGACCTGGGGTGGTCCCCGACACACTTCATGACATCATGCCAGGTAAGGGTAAGTCTGGCCACACACAGGTGGCTACTCTCACTGGACAAGCTTGGTATATGTGTGTGAGTGAGCGGGGTGGGGAGAGGGCATCTGGGGTGGGAAGGCTAAAGGAGACTGACACTGAGGCAAGGGCAAACCACTCTGTATTCTGCAAGCAGAGTCAGGGGCCTCCTAGAGGTACAGAAGGCAGAGAGGCTAGATGGGAGTGGGGGTGGGAGTCCTTGTAAGCCTCAGCCCCCAGGGCATGGCCAGGTACTCCACCACAGGTTGAACAAACAACAACAATAATTAGCAATGAGTAATCCCCAGGCAAGGCTACTTGCAGGCCTTGGGCCAAGAGGCGCTGTCTTGGGAGGGAGCCAGTGCTTGGCCAGCCAGCGTGAGCAGTGTGTGTCCATCAGCACGGGTGAGCAATGGAGGCATGTCCTAGGCACACCTCCCTGCCCCCTTCTGAACTCAGTCCTGGAGTGTGACACCTGCTGTCGTCACCAGCGACGCCACTTCTCCCCA